TTCCTTTTGTATTACGTTCTGTTTTGACCATTTTATAGGCTATTAACCTAGAAAAAATATGGCAAATATTACGTTAAAATCGCTACTCTGAATTATCGTCAAAGAAATCAGAACTTTGCCATAACATGGTCAAAAATGGTCGGAATGTGGAAAGTCATATCTCGATGAGTTTGTAATTAAATTTCCAACATAACTGTGTTCACACCTAAAAATAGCAATTTTAGGCCATTTTCCGCAAATTTTGATGATAACCCCTTTACAAAAAATGCGAAAATTGACCAAAAATTAATTTTCTTCCAATTGACCAAATAATGAAAGGGATCGAAAGCTTAGGTACTTAGCTGCAGAAAATGATCAATTTCTTTACCCTCGGTCCATTTTCAGCCCAGTTATAAGAAAGACCCTCTAGGATATTGCCACTTTTTGAATTCTCCCATTTCCGAATAAAAAGCGGAGAGCTTTAACCGGCTAAAATATAATTCAGCAAAAAATGATAGGACGATCCCTATAGCATATGTTTTGAGATTCACCAAATGATGAATATTTTCACTCTCCGCCCATTTCAAGCGAAGTTATGACTGACATTCTGGGATACTTTGACACTTTCTGAAAGAAACGAAGAAGAAGGTAGCCAAGCGTAGTCTATCCATTTTATTCATCTACATACATATCTGTCGGGTATAGAATATGTAAGATTACTCTGGACAATAGTCTTAGATTCCCTTTTGTGCACCTTTCAAGCCTTTCCAACGGACTGTTTGATCATCATAAGTTCAAGTTGCGATTTATAGCTGAAAGATCTGAAATTATTACTCTGATCAAAGTGAAAAAATATATCATAGCTCGGAAAGTTAAACCGCTTTAGCCGAGCGTTAAGTGGGAATATTTCTTGCTTCCTCCGGTTTCCTGGCCTTTGATTCTAATTTATAATCCGTGCAATTTGCGAGCTGCATTCAGGCGCATGCCCAGCGGCAATATTTTCATATTTTCATATTTAAAGTTGTTATGTTTGGCTGGCTGCGGTGTTTGGTCTGGGCCCAGGCAAAAGCATTTATTTATTTCACAGTCTGAGTCTTTGGAGGGCAGCGATTCAGTTATTTCTGCTTCACTAAATCCATCTAGGATTCAGTGTTATTTAGTTGGAATCTGCTCGCTCTGCCTCGGGCGAAATCGTTGCCTGCTTTTATGTGTTGTTAACACGTGTTCAAATCATAAAGCTTAACTCGCTTTGAATATCCTTTATGGCAGGGAGCAGCCAGCAGAGAGCAGGACGCAGGGCGCTATTGTTATGCAATGTCTTGATAAATGGCTTTTCAGAGCCAACTCTGTGGCCATTTTGGTCCCAGGGAACGAGGACGAGAGCGCATGTAAGCCGGTTTCTGTGAGCATGCCAAGCCCTTTGTGAGTGTCTCAGGAACACTCGTGATTTGCCCCCTGCCAGGAGGAGTTCTCCCAGCTTTGCCAGAAAATTGCAGGAGCAAAAAGCAAGAGTCGAGCATTCTAACCCCAAATAGTTCCCTCACGTTCACATTCCCCAGATGTCCGCATTTCTGTTGCAACTAGTTTTATGCATTTAATTAAAGCTTTGCCGAAGTATAACTGGCAAATCCCTTTGGAAATAAATATGCGAAGGGTTCGTCGTGATTCGCATTTCTCTGAAGCAGAACAACATTTCATTGGGGCGCCTACTATTTCGGGATGTTACTTTAAAGCCAGCTGCTCTTCCGAGATGAAGCATTCGATTTCTTTCGACACATTAACCTAATTGGCTTCTTCTATTCCGCCGCTCGGTTGCCCTCTTCCCGACTAATAAATCGTTCGGGGATTACATGGATACTTAAAAATGTATCTCAGCATTTTCATCTTTGGCACGACAACTTTTTCACGTTTACCTTTTCGGCTTTGCCGGGCCAAAGGTAAGCGGGAAGGGAACAGCTTTAAGCCTAAACCTAAGCCTTTGAAATGGTTTTTTAATGTGTGGGGTCCTGGCGATGGTTCACTGCCTCCACTCTCGTCTCCGAATGGGATTAAATGTTTTTCGGGCGACAATTTTGGGCGGGAAAGGAACTTTGAAACCTTTGGGCTGGCTGTCGTCGGGCTATTAACACCTTAGCTTATTGTTAATTAAGCCTCCCCTCCTAACGGATATAATCCTTTATGCCCGTGCTCGTCCTCTGGGGCAAACTTGATTTGTCAACTCGGTTAATTACTGGTTTCGAGAGCTACTGCTAAGACATTAATGGCATTAATTAACTGATGGCTTTAGGGCTTAGCCAATACAGACACTCAACGGCTCTCGGATTGGGATACGCACTCCGACTCGTAGGACTGAAATTGATGGCATTTAAGCCGAGGCAATGGGCTAATTAGAGCTGGTTAAATGGACTGGATGGAAATTGCCAGCATCCAGACTTAAAGTCTCATCCAGCCTGGTGTGGGAAACTGCCAATGCTTTTAGCTGCGGTTAGTATTTTTTAATTTCCTTCATCTTCCGCGGTAAGCCTTGGCTTTAGCTCCGCTAAATCTCAGCTTAAATACTTCCATATTCCATTTACATGATTTCGTCTGTATGGCCAAATCTCCCCAACCTTCCCGCCGGCTTTTCCCATCTCGACATCTCGGCGGTAAGAAAATATGACAAACACAAAGTGCTCGAGACCATGAGCTGAGGAGAAACAGAATGTCATAAAAATACACACTTGCGCCATGTACGAGTACTCGTATGTATGTCGTGTCTATGGGACATACTCCGGGAGCTGGGGCAGCAATAGGACAGGTTCCATAAGCCAGATGCTGGGATAATGGAGGCAAAAGACGCGTCAGAGCAGACAGAATAAAATCACATTTTCGCAGCCAAAGCATTTATGATCCATTATGCTCTTAACCGAAGGCTCCGGCTTTTGTTTTCGCCCATAAAAAATGACAGGGAATGTAATAGGCGAGTCTGCGGGCATTGGCCACAAGGTCAGAACGTGCCGAAAGATATCCAAAGTTAATACCGTCTGGTGGCTATAATTTGATTACATTTTTAGTTTTGTATTAGCCATAACCTGGATATGGATAGTTAGTAGTGTTCCGAGACTACCACCAAGGACATAAAACGGGAATATTTTAAAGGACTCCTCTGATGCTCAGCCATTTATCGGAAACGAACACTTTAAAACCACTTTGCTCGCCCGACCGGAGTATTTGAAATATAACCAGACCAGACCCCAGCCCGGCATTCCGATGTGGATATGCGAACGGTGGTTTATTGAAGATGTCGGGCATTCCGGGCGGAATATTTGTCACAGGGCATTGTGGGCTAAATAAATAAAATAGCTCGGGTGCAGCGCATGTTTATTTGATCAAATTGCAGTCACTTGTCCGCACGGGTGTGTGGGTTTATTGTTGACACATTTTTAAGATGTACCCTGAAATATGAATATCAAATATGAATGCCGTGGCACGGCACTAGAGAAAGTACAAAACACGTCGTCGAGGTGAAAGTTGAGAGGGACTGAGAGAGCGAGGGAGACTGAGTGGATGATGATACGGGCCCTGATGCATCTGTGGGTTGGGTGTGACACTTGAGAACAAAAAACGCTTAAGTGGTTCAATGTCTATGGAGCTGACTAACCCACCCATCTGCCCATCTACCCATCTACCCATCCACCCATCCATCCACGTTGACGTTGATTGTTGAGCGATAAGAGCGTTGCCCTAATGACACTTTGCCCCGGCACTCTTTGCGTAGCCGAGGGATGTCCTTCAGCTGATGTCCTCATAATCGGCTGAGTGGAGACCATTAATGCATCAGATTATCGTGACTACCGCACATTTATATCCGCCCACGTATTTATACGCTGTGTCATAGCCCGTTTATCTTTAATCCATGCTGCGCACCCACACAATCGCATTAATCATTTAATTGTGACCGCAAAAGCCCTTCCATATTAACAATCAATTAATGCTATTCGAATAGGTTTTTTACCCGCTATCTGCGTTGTACATATAGGCACTATATAGCCGCCATATGCCATTGATATCGCTTAATCCGCTTGGAACAAAAGTGAATCGGCGAAAGCTACCCTCATGGCTTAATGCAGCTTTCACGGGAACAGATTAATGATTATCCTTTTCGGAGCATCAGGTAGCTGGGAGAGGAAAAGAGGTGCAAATTAGTTAGTTTTATTGTTATTACTTTGAACAGATTTGAAGCACTCAATTTATTCACGGTGTGTCAGACAATTATGCAAGTGTTATGGCCACTAATTGTCCATTTTCCTAACGGTTCAATGGGCTTACAAATACCAATTGCCAGTTAGCAGTGACAAAAAGCGTCAAAAGCATTTCATGCCCCATTTAATGGCCGATTACAAAAAGTCAAAAGAGTGAAAATAAAGCCAAATCCGGATTCGATAAATGCACAGCAAAGGGCCGTAAATGCGCATTGATAAGACACGATGGTAATCTGCTGTAAATGGTAACTCTTTACGGGAAACAATGGGCATTTGGAGTGCTCTAAACAATGCAAATGTTTCGGTTTTAATGACTTGCATACTTGCAGTTTTTAATTAAATCACTAATTACGTGAATAGGAGTTTGCATTTATGAGGCCACCGCAGCGTTAATTCCGTTCCAAATAGTTGAAAATAATTAAATTGAACTTTATTTTTCATGGCATGCATATGCATGTGCATATCACTTATATATCAAATAAATAATTGATGCCGAAAATTTGCAATTTCATGTTGTTTTCCACGTCAAAGGCTACAAAGCCGCACTCATGGCACGCGCATTATGGTGTCCGACAGTCGGACAGTCGGACAGTCCGGCAGTTCGTACATTCCAGTTAATGAAATTAGCATTAGGTAGATAATTATGTTGGCTAGCTAACGCTTCAGCTGAGCCTGTTTCTTTGTCGGCTTTTTCTATCCAAACTAGGTGACCTACGCCAGATAATTCCCTTTTCCCCCCATTAGTCCCATCAGTCACAGTTTTCTAACTAACCACAACAGGTCACTCGAAACACACTTCGCAAATTAAAATTCAAGTATATAGCTTACGTCGCTTTTCCAAGAGAAAAATTAGCCATTATGTTCATCCGCGGGGATGTGCCGCGTCATTCCCGGGGCCAGATCCCCCAGATTCCCAGTTCCATGACTCCCTACGTAGCGGCGGTGAAGCGCGGCCCCTATACGATGACCAATCCGGTTTACAACAGCCCCAATCCCAACCTGGTGGGCCTGGATGGCCAGGTGGAGGGGTCTCGGCCGAAGCATACCTTCAACGTAAAGAAACAGGAGTTGGAGAATAACTTCCGGCACCACCAGCGGCGTATTCCGGTGCCCACCTGCCGGAGGACAATGCCCAAGACCAGATCCCACATGGTGATGAACGAGCAGCGGGAGCTCTACCGCCAGCACCGCGATCGAATGTCCAATATCAAGGGCAAGGTCAACACCTATCTGCCGCCCCCGAAAATCCAAATCGAGGGCAACGGCATGGAGCTCTCCTACATGGAGATGCTGACCGCGCTCTACAAGAAGAGCAACAACACGCTGCGCACGTTTACCAAATCCCCGGAACGCCTGGCGGCTGGCAGGTGGCGCAATGCCAACTTGGCCAGGGAAAAGGAGCGCCGGCAGCTGGAGAAGAACAAGGAGTTCCACAAGGGAGGCGAACTCTTCGATCCCCAGGCGGGCAAGTCGAACAGGTACATGCCCAAGTCCTCGGGTTCCTTCAGTTGCGAGATTCCCCTCCACGTGCTCCATCGCTACGAGAGCCTGATGGACAAGTGCGACGTGGGCATCCTGTGCAAGCTGCTCCGCCCGCAGATCTACCTGGACATCGAGGTGCGAGAGGCCCGCATCGAGGGAAGACTGACTATCCAGCTCTTCACTGAGGCCTGTCCGCAGGTGGTGCTGGAGTTCATGAGGGTCTGCACCCAAAGGCGGAAGGGAGCCATTCTCTTCTCTCGAGCTTTGGCGCCCATTTGGATGGAGGGACGACTGGCCATGAATCCGCAGAGGAGCACCGAAGTGGCCAACATCGAGCACGACTTCGAGGTGCTGAACCACGGCGTGGATGCTGGGATCCTCTCCTTCCCCAGCCGTTATGTCCGGGGAAATGCCCGGAAGGCGGTCAACTTCACCATCAGCTTCAAGCCACTGTCCATTTTGAATGGCAGGAGGATCGCCTTCGGGAAGGTTCGCAAGGGTATGCAGGTCCTGGAGAAGATTCAGGCGGCCATCGGACACCTGCCCATGAGCCACAAAATGATCCAACTGACGGACTGCGGAGTGCTCCAATAATGTACAAATTCAAAGTAGACTCAAAGAGAAACGCGTAACCTTAAGGATTAGTCTCCAACACTCGACCAATAGAAGCCGTCGGCTGCTGGCTGAATAAGCCGTAGTATATCTGTAATATATAATATATATAGCAATAAATCGATGTACACTCGAAACTAATGTCATTTAAAATAGAAGGACTGAATCTGTTCAAATCTTGATATAGTTTTCAGTTCTCAAATTGGATCAGTCGAAGCAACTCGCAAGCGTATTTTGTATTTCTATTTTTTTAAATTCAGTAAGATTTTATTTTATTTGATTTTTCTACTACTAACATATTCTCAACCGAAGAATCTTCGTTATGATTGGGGTTCACGACGGACTGAATAGCCCAAGGAAGGAGAGTGGAACGGAGGACACGTCGCCATTTCCGAGCAAGTACCTCATGCGGAATACCCGTGTGCTTAGGGTCGTGAAGGCCCAGATTAAGGAAGTGCCCATGGAGGTTCTGGAGGCTGCTCAACAGGAGCTGGTTAACATCGTGAACTTGGGTAATAACCAGCTGCGAGAAATACCCAAGGATATGATTTTGCTGAACGAGCACCTCACACAGCTGATCCTGAGCAGAAACCAGATATCCTTTGTGCCCACCAACATCTCGCAGTACTCGAAGCTGGAGGTCTTAAACCTCTCCAGCAATCTGCTGTGCGAATTGCCCATGGAGTTGGGTGGACTGCACTTGCTCCGTGAACTGGATATCTCCCACAATCGGTTCCATCACTTGCCAGCCTGCATCTACGAGCTGAGCCAACTGGAATCTTTGGTGGCCCACGACAACAACATCAAAAGCGTTGATGCCAGTGACTTGGGACTGGGCGGGATGCCGGAACTACTGATCTTGAATCTAAACAACAATGATATTAATGTAGTGCCACCCATCCTGGGAAATATGCCGAAGCTCAAAAGCCTCGAACTATGGGGCAATCCCTTCCGCCAGCCGCGCCACCAGATCCTATCCATGGGAACTCCCGCGGTACTTAGCTACCTGCGAACTCGCATTCCCATATAAACTGTCAACGTAAATTGTCAAAGTATTGCCAAATAAATGGAGTATAGTTCTGAATTTTCTTCAATTTGTTGTTTTTGATGGAAATTGCTATTCGCAGCTCTAGCCCTGAAAAGTATGCTATGATTTCATCGTTGATTGGGCTTATGAACATCTCAGAATACCTTCGATCAGTCAAAGGTAGCACTGAATCCAAAATCAAATTCATTAGTCAATAAGTTGACTCTGCAAATACATTACTCTCCTCTCAGTCTTTTCCAAAAACTCGCACAATGTCGAAGACTTCCAGACATTCAACAACGGAAAATGTGCGCAAGTCGGTGAAACCGGTAGTGGTGAAGAAGGTTCCGTAAGTAGTTTGCTCTCCCTTTCAATACAAGTTCAAAAACAACTTATTCACGTGCCTCCACAGTCGTCTTAGATCCTATGATGGGGATGCGTTCGTTAGCTTGTTCGCCCGCCGCGGAGCTCGGGATATCATGATTTTGGATGCCCAAGGAATGCCCCTTCGGTCGACCTGCAGCCAGAGGCGCACCTTCTTCTTTGTCTCGAACCTGAAGCCACTTCTTTTCATGGCCCGGAACGTGGTCAGGGATCTGGATCCCTCGAACGACATAACCTTCATGAGGATTCGCTCCAATGTCGGCGAAATACACATGACCTTGGGCACGGATTTCATTTTGATTATGGTGCAAAAGTTAAAGAGGAACCGAAAGAGTTCCATTTCATAAAACATTTTCCAATTGAAGGGCGGGTGTGTGTGTGTGTGTGCGGGAGTTAATTGAGCTGGTCCACTAAAAATTAAACTGCATGCAATCATGGCAAATGAGTGGAGTTCGAAATTGTTTTCGGGGGAAACTCTGGGAAAGCCCAGCGATAGCAGCGCAAACTAATCCGTTTATGCAGCGCTTGCAAATCCGGAAAATGCATCAAAGCGCCAATTAGTACGGCATGTCCAGCATATGCCGGTTGTGTTTGGGGCTTCCCTGATGTTTTCAATCCAACGGCCTCCCAATTCGTTCTGCCACACTCATTAATCTCCCCTGGACTTTGGCTTTTGGCTCTTTGGGAGCTGCGATGCAGCTTCATTAAAACCCAATCAGGCGGGCTGTCAATCCGCAAAGGCACGAGTATCCTGCGACGCACTGAACGGCAACAGATTGTGGAAAAAATTAAAAGATAATGGCAATTACAAACCGCACGTCTCGCAATGAGTCTTGTAGTAAATGGTTTGTTCTTCTTTCTGTCGGATTTACTTCGACAAGGCAAAAACACTCCTCGAAGAGAAGGGAATTTCAGGTCTCTTTCATGATATTTCATCCTTAAAGTAACAAAATTTCTATTGAAAAGCAACACATTTAAAATCATGTTCCGCGACAGCATCTAAATACAGATACAGAATACATTCGCCCACCCCCAATCACATCTGTAGGCCAGTTTGCTTAGCCAATTTATAAAATAATTTTCCCACGGGGCTGCAAGTGGCAAAGCCAGACAATGGAACTCGGTTTGCTTTTGTGCCTATTGTTTGACAAATAATTCGGCATTGTTTTAGTTTCAAATTGCGCGTATTTATTCAACCTGTTGTTGGCACAAGGGCCGCGGCATTTGTCCAGGGGTCGCCGTATGTGCTTTGCCGCTTAAGCTCCCGGGATACACATGTTTCGTTGTTTGTTTCTGGGTGTTTCATTATTCAATGCGGTGCAAATATTTATGGTTGTTGTCTGCCACTGAATGCCAAATGCCAAATCCGCTAAACGCATCAAAAAGGAAAGACTAAATGGCTTTTCTGAATAGGTTGCATGGGTGGGGATTACGCCATCAGATTACCGGACGTGTTGAGAGGCCGCATTCATCATCGTCATCGTCATCGTCATCGTCACCGCCGTCATCATCATCATCAGTTGGCCAAAGGAGTTCAAGGAGTCGATTGGAAAAGCGCTAGACGTGATTGAGTGACCAAACTGCAGGGAGTTCGCCACATGTTGACATTTAATTTATTCGATTCGATCGGAGTCGAATGCAGCACTCGGAATGCGTTGACTTTCAATGAATATTCGAGAGTTATTAATAATGTAAAAGTCAGCATTTACATGGCAACCACTCCGCTGAAGTGTGAGCGACTGCCGTTTTAATTACCAGCCATATTTAAAGAGTTCTTCCATTTAAGCCATGCAAAACCCGCCGTCAACCGGAAAGCTCAAATAGCCCCGGGGCCTCAGATTGAAATATGTTATTTCGTCGTCTGCGGCGCGATGAACCGTGAAATTGCGTACATACGAATATGATTCCGGAAGGTTAAGGGCTATTTGGCCAGACGACGCCACTTGAATTCTATCAAAACGGCCTTTGGCAGGTGCTCAATCCGATTTACCCCACCGAAAACCGTTGGGGATTTAAGCCCAAACCCGACGTTCCTGTGCGGCTGTTTATCTGTCGACCAACTAAAGCCGATTACCAACTGCTCTCATTGCAACATTTCCGAACAAAGCAATCTATGTGTAGTCACAGCCATACTGGGCTTAATGATTCAAAACTAAAGCCTTAGAAATATGAATATTGCAGATGGCCGAATGAATGATCTGTTAAGTGGACTCCATCAGGGGCTGGCCCCGTCTTGTGGGCTCCCGAATTCCATGTCCTTGCTGGCCAACACATTCCCATGACTAATGGTCTTCCCCTTGGTCGCCTTTTGCGGACATTCATCTTGCCAGCCAATCCAACATGTGCTGCCCTTAATTAGTGCCATTTGAGCCCTTTTCGGTCAGGATTAAAAACGATGCCAGGTCCGGCTGGGATGAGGGGGGCATTAATAGTGGAGCTCATCACTCGGATTTCGGCATTTAATAAATAAATGCGTATAAAGTATGACACTGATTGCCTTGCTTGTCCAATTTGTCAGCGGTAATCGAATCAATCAGGAAGCGGCATTAAGTCCAGCATGCAGCTGTTATGATTGCAAAAATATAAGAATTATAATTCCGAGCGCTGCGATGCCGATAGCAATTAAAAAATTATTCATATCGACAGCCGGAAAATATTACGGCGAATGTCCGGCGAACAAAACTATTTGCATTGTTCGTGGGGAGAGTGTAAGAGCCGAGCCCATTGTTTGGCAAACAAAGGAGCGCTGACTTTAAGGAATTTCGCTTTTTAATTACTTTCCAATTAAGCCTCAATTAAACGCGGTCCTTGGGCCCGCAGCTTGAGTGCCTGGCAAGTGAGTAAGAGGATATCAGCAATCAAATCCGGCGACATCATCATTAGGAGCTCCTGCGGAAAAGAGATCTGAAGTGCAGCCTGCAATCTGCCGACTTAATTAATGAAAACACATGGCCGACATGTCGGGCATTAATATCATAAGGCTCCGCAGCCGAGGAATCGGTGAGGGGGAAAATGACTTCCGATTCAGGCATTAATTAACTTTAACTTTCAGCTGTCGGCGCCATAATCTCCTGCACACAAAGTCGGGCAAAGGCAGTGCAATATCGAAAAAACGCCAAAGGGAATCCTTTAATGGCACGCAGTGCAGGCTTTAAGAGAGGCAACCTCGTCCGAATGGTCGGGAATGGTGACTCCCCCACCCCCAACACCATGTTCACCTGTCGTCAAAGGCTTGGAAAAGTAAGCCGGCAGGGCAAACCCTGCTTATTTCGTACTTGGAAACTAACATGAGCCCGATCCCCGGAGCCAAAGATAACTTTGTACAATGCGTTTTCGTTGCGGTTGACGACTTTCCTGGCTCTCCCTGACATCGCCGTGGAAAATGCTGAATAATTACAGCGGGAAAATAATTTAAGTCGGCTTGTTAGCTAGGGAAAATTTCTGTTTAAGTCGGAGCTTGTTACTGCGCTACATCGAAAGCTTGTAATAGAACATGTGCAAGTACTTGTAAGCCAGAAACTGATTTATTGAATTAATCTCGCATTACTTGCCTTGAAAAGCAATGAAAAACAATGCCCTTTGATGAATCTTTGGCTGTATTTACCTGTCTAATGGCCGTAGTTAATGCTAATGGTTATATGTGTAGAGACAACAACTTAAGTTCACAAGACTATGACAGCCTTTTCCAGACTCTTGCCACCTTCCCATTAACGCAAGAAGCCGAAATTCCTACTTGAAGCCCGCAAATGTTGCTGCTAATTTCTTTAGACGGCGGCACATGCATTGCAATTTCTTGGCAAGAACTGGGGGGGGGTCTTGGGAGGGTGAGTACGTAGGTTCACTGGCTGCTCCCTACATTTTTGGGGGCAAATACTTCATAACAAGTTGATGCAACTTTTAAAACATTTACGCCATTTCACGTGTACGTGACCACGCATGGCAAACGGAAAGTTGAGCCCGGGAAGACCCGAGAACACACACCGAGAACACACACCGAGAACACACCCAAAACACACACAGTCGGTGTGTGTTCTTAGGGGATTCACTTTATGGCTGCGGGGAGCTCTTTAATTGCAGCCAAGCGGGTGATTATTTTGGCAAGTTTTTTAGCTTTCACGGCAATGCCGGAACGCTTTGCGAGTGCGAATAAAAATTACAAATGCCTTGCACGTATTTATTAAATTCCGTTTGCACCGTTTTGGCCTGGGAACTTTTGTATCCGCCCTAAATACGTGTTTGTTCCAAGTTGTATTCACGTTTTTAACTTTTATTTTCGATAGGGGATTCTTTTTGTATACAAAGGCCTTTTTGCAAGCCAATCCAGTCTGCATTAACCGTGGCAGCTACAAATTTCAGTGGTTATTATTTGACTCATCACCGAATCAATAATTTGAAACGCTACTGGTTTCAGGCGTCAGTTTTTGGACACGTAACCACATTATAAAGAGGTAATGTGATTTAAATTGGTTGCATGGAAACGCTGCACAAAGGAAGTGCCCCAACGAGTTTCAATTTGCATATTGGGCGGGGCAAATAAAAGTCGCCTTTTGAGGCTGGAAACTCTGCTTTAAAGAGCAATGGAATAATGGATAAAAACTGAATCGAATTTTAAGTGTCATTTATTATTATTACTCACCGGCAGGAGTATTTACTGGTCTCCTCATACTGCTCTAAGTAACTGCAAATTATTCATGTCTTACACACTCATCTCCCCTGGCAGCGGCAACATCTTGAGAGGAGTCTTAGCAATCAGTTGTTATTTAAAGGCAAACACAGCCTGACAGAACAGAGTGACACACGACACGAGCACAATGTTTGCCTTTATGAAACTCATTTCATAATTAATTTGCTTTTTCTCGTGTTGACTGCAACACGTATACGACACGTTGGCGGCAGATGAAACTCAACTTTTCAGTGACATCTGCAAGATATTAATTAACGCATCTCCAGGTGTCTTGACTCAATCAATGGGAAATTAGTTAAGCGAAACCATTTGACAATGTCGAGCAATTTGGAAAATCTGTGGCCTTAACTAGTCAATTTGGGCCATCTCTTCAGCTCTCCACAGCACTACAGCTCTTCAGCTGAGCACACACATTGCCAGCAGGAATCCACATTTGGCCACAATCTCGCTCAAGCACTTGCCATGTTCCAAACTGGTGGGCGTTCTGGGGCGTGGCAATCAGTCTGCTGGGGCATTTTGTCAAACGAAATCAGCTTCGAGCCATGTGCGAAGTGAGTGGCCTCAAAGAAGGTCTTATAAATAAGCCAGGGAGCAGAAAAAAGTGGATACTTTCCCAGCAAATTTGCATGTGAAATGCTGCCATGCACACACACTTTCTGGCATGTCAGCATTGGCTTAGGACCAGGATCTCTGTTGCGGCAACTTTTCCAGTTCCGCAGTGTAAATGTGCATGAAATGCATCGTCAGGCTGGCTTCCACTTTTTTCTCTCTCTGTCTCTGCCTCTGCCTCTGACTCTGCCTCTGTCTCTGTCCCTCTGTCTGGCGTTACGGTTTCGTGCATTAACACGCACGCACAGAGGGCCAAGACACACAGACACAGGCACACGCATCCTTTGGGAGGACAAAACGCACTGTGAATGTGGAATTGGTGTCCTTCCCCTTTCCCTGGGACCACTTCCGGTCCCCCATGCATCCTGGTCCTCGCTGTTCTGCTGTTCTGCTGTTCTACTGTTCTGCTCCTGTGGCATTGTTTTTTATGCCCAGCAATTTCGGGGTGTCCTTTTTTCGGGGCTGAGCACTACTGCACTTTTTCAGTGGCCCACACACTGCCCAAAACAATAGAGTAAAACAATCACTTCACTGCACATAACTGCTGATCACATAATAAGCATACATTTTGTTAAAAGGACCCAACGAAGCTTACCCTAACACTTGAAAGACAATAACTACACGTAAAGAAGGAAATAACGTCAGAATTTCTCTCAGTGCAGAGCGTAACCTGGTCCCTAGTTTTCCGTGAAACGCTCGGAAATTTCTCAGCCATTTGGCTGTTGGGAAAAAAGCGGTCGGGCGTGAGTGCGAGTTGTTATTTTCATCCTGGCCAAATCCAGTGGCAAGTAACTGCAATAACTTTGGCTGCGGATTAGGGCGGATGCACAATGGACGCTGATTGGGGGCGACAGCAGTTGCCGTTGCAGTTCGAGATGCAGTTCGAGATGCATTTGCAGCGGCAGAGCTGCGGTGGCGCCTAATGATATGCAATAGTCCGCCACTAATGGCAGTTACTTGAGTGTAAATTCAAAAGCGGATTGCGGCTCTCTAATCCGGCAGCTAAATTATTTATTCTGCATTTGTCTTTGGCGATGTCATCGAATTGGGTTCACGAGCTGCGGTCGTGCCATCCTGATGGCTGTTTCAGAGTACTGAGCTCCCCCCGCCGAATGCCCCCAAAATGTGGCATGGAAATTTCGTTTATTTTAATGGCATTGCCCCATGAACCGGGTTGATTCCGGTTACCATTTACCAGTTACGAGTTACCAGTTACTGCCATTTTCGTTGTGCATTTTAAAACAATTACGCGGTCTCGCATTTGCGTCTGGCTTCGGTATCCTTTTTTCACCAGGACCTTCGCCCCGCCCTCCGCTGTGTCTCTCCTCGGGGCTTTCGGTCCTGCAGTTGCAACTCTTCGATTACGCCAGACTTAACAATGCGAGGAATTAAGCGAATTTCCTCTTTTCATTACTTGGAAATTGAAATTGGTTTTTTAAACGGGACGCCCACATGACGGTGGAACCTGAAACCACTCACTAACCGGATCCTAATTGATTCGGCCAAAGCAGTGGATTTATTGCCGCCTGCAGAGCGTTTTGTTAATGAAAAACCTGAAGTTCAAATGGCCACAGGATCTGGGAAGTGGGATCTGGGACACATTAGCGTACTAAATCTAGACGGGGCCGTCGGGTGAGCTTAATGTTTTGCCGTTCGGTTATATATCATGCGGTGATTTGTGGACTTAGCATAAAACCGAGCGGCCCGGCGACATCCCGACTCTCTGGCGACTTTGGACGGGTCGCGATAAATCAAGGCGCAGATCCGGGAGCTCGGGGCTTTGCTATTCGTACATAGGAGTATGGTATGCGTGGCGAAACTTAATAAGAGTTGCGACAACAAACAAATGATACAGATAGACAGGCGACGGGCGACGGGCTGGGGGCGGGAGGAGGAAGCTGGAACGAAGAGCGGAAAACTCTTTAAAGAAATGCCGTTGCACAGGACATTTTTCACCGTGGTATAGATTCGCAGACGGATCGCCGGAGAGAGATATCAAAGTACTCCGAGGGGAGGGCGAGTGTTTTGATTTATCACAAACAATGCTGGGAGATGGGAAATCCCCTGCCCAGACCCATCCAATTAAACTGTTAACTTTCATTATGTCACTGCGCTATTTCGGATTTCGGATTCCGTATTTGGGGAGACGACGGCGTCCGGATGTGCCGCCATATTGGGCCATTGTTGCGCCATTGTCTATGCAGGGATTTCGGCCCTGAGTGAGTGACAACACTGCGGTTTCGGCAGCAGAGCTACCCACCCAGTCACCCTGCCTTAGCTATGTCCTCCGAGGACTCCGCCTGATAAATCGTCAACGCGGCTTCCCTTTCACATGCTGTGACTTCATTATGGCATAACAAATCGTCGGCAGTTTGCATTCCTAGCAGCGGAAACGGAAGCGGAAGGCATCCCCGAAAGAAACGGCGCACTTTGGACCTTTGTGGACGGCAGAATGGCCACAGACCGTAAAGACAATTCCATCTCGTTTCTCCACATGTTCTTTCGTGTTTTACTTAGATATATACCAAGATAATTATTCCACAATTTAGTACAGTTGCTAACTTCTATATCCTTTTCTTACAGCCCTGCCATGGATCTCAAGACTGGCTCTCTCCTGGTCGCGCCCGCCGTGAAGAACTCCAGCTGCTCGCATCCACGCTACTCGGGCCACAACTTCATCGCCCACATAGGGATTGCAGAGACCATCGAGGCGGTGCTCATTCTGGTCCTGACACTTGGCGTCATCGGGGCCAACTGCCTGGTCATCTTCGTCATCAACAATCGCCGCTATGCGGCCTACATACACCAACAGGTGAGAGGATGGGCATGAGTCTCGGATGTCGCAGCCTTAACCCCTTGTTTGCCTTGTGTATCCCTTGCAGCCCCGCTATCTGCTCACCTCGCTGGCCCTGAATGACCTGACAATTGGTCTGTTAATTACACCATTCGGTCTAATGCCGGCATTGTTTCACTGCTGGCCGTACGGAGAGATCTTCTGTCAGATACAGGTGAGTGGGTCAACAGTGGGTCATCGTTGGGCCAACAGGTGGGGGCGGAAGTACGATAATTTGTTGTAGAACGCCGGTACCCCGATTGTGGCTGTGTGACTTTGTGGCTGTTGCCATTGCGGTCAATTAACTCTCTTCACAATGCTCGGTAATTAAAGGACATAAGCGGCGGAGATGAAACCGGCAAATCCCGATTAACGGCCGGAACAATGTGTAATGCTTATGTTAACCTGTTCGAGTGTGTGTAGGGTTAAGTGGTGAAGCGTCATGGTTTCAGATACAGGAGGTGTGATGAGAGACCCTTATCCCTTCCATATAGTTAATTAACTTACTCAGCCAGGAATCGTTATGGTAGATCTTGTAGTGATACCTGAGAGGACAGTAATTGCTGAATGTTTTCATTGAAAGGCAAATTGTTATAGTGATCAAATACCTAATAATACCAGCTCACATTTCTAATAAAATATTAGAATTTTATATTGCCTGCCCAGCTTTATTGGCAGAACGTGCATGCATTCCCAGCATAACTCACTGGTAGACTAGATACTCTGGCGATTAATAATCTCCATATTAGCCGGGCTGCTCTGACGCCGAATAAATTCCATTACGAGTCTTTCGTTTTGCCTGCGCCAGCAGAAAAGTTTGGCAGAGAAGCCATAATACAAATAATAAACTTCTAAACTAGCACTAACGCATTTTCCGCATTTCCCCTACTTTCCAGGCTCTGCTGCGCGGCGCGCTCTCCCAGCAGAGCGCCGTCATCCTGGTCTGCATGGCCGTCGATAGATATATGTGTGCCCTGCATCCGCGGCGGTACTACCAGCACTCCAGCAAGAAGGTAAGATATAAGATATTCGTTTCTGGGCTACTCGGATAAGGCACGTTGTGGCCCGATCGCTATCCTGGTATCTTTATGCTTGAGCAAGGACAATAAACAAAGCGTTGGCGTAATTACAAGAAATCACGCGCCAATAAAATCGACTATAACAATGGGACGAGCAGCAGAACAACTACACAATATTGTCGGCGAGCCAATTACGCAAGCATAAATAAGGATAATGGGCTTTAAGCTGCTTGACAGTCATTAAACAAGCAAAAATAGCCGAGGTGGGCGGGGGAGCGCCAAAGAGCGAATGCAAAACAAAGCAGCACGAAGAATGAAAAAGCAAAGTTGGCAAAAACCAACAAAAACCAACAAAAAAAGAAAGGAAAAGCAAGAAAAATACGAGGGCCCAGTCGTATAGACAGTCGAAAAGTGTATAAAATGAGGATAAAAAAGGAGGAAAGCAGGAAAAGTTGGCCTAGAGATTTTTTACGCGCAATGACTTCGGCAAAAGGGCGACGACCACAGCAAAGTCCTTTTCCCGGACGAAGGCAGGCAAATGAAGCGGCACCTCCCACGGAAACCGCAAGCAGGGCCAAAGAGCAGCAAACGAGCTACCAACTCTATTTCCCATTCCCGACAACCTAATTTATGGCTCCCGGACTGTAAACAAAACGAGAGCTAGGAGACGAGGAGCAAGGACACCGAAGCCCGAATGTCCTTGCCCCGAATTAACGCCGAGCCGCCGAGAATTGCAAGTTATTTATGATTTAATAAAACAAACTGCAAGCAGCGTCATAAATTTCGGGTTAGGCGGGTCAACTTTCAACCTAATAAAATATCTTGAGAATCCCTTTATTAACTTTACCTTTTACACTTTCGGATTTTATAAATATTTATCCTTGACTAAACTTCATTGAAGATCATACATTTTGTAATGCCTTCCATAAAGATAACACTTTTTAATATATTATATTAAAGTTTGCGGTTCCTTTGGTGAAATTTAATCTCGTGAAAACCTAAAAAGAGCAATTCAAAAACTCTCAAAATATATCCATTGAGTGTAGTCTCAGTTTCCTCTGCGAGCTCGGAGTTTTTTGGAAAAGCTGTAATTCAAACGGATAAAAGAAAAGACAATAGGGCCAAATAAAGCTGGGGGGAAACCGAGGGAAATACCAATAGTGCAAAATAAATTTACATAAATTTGGCCCGCTATTTTTTTTGATTCGAAAATCGGCGCCATTTGGGGTTTTTTCCGCCAGCTGGCCTCCGAAATGGGGCCAGTGGGCGAAATTGGCACAGTGCCACGCCTCCATTCGGGAAAATGGCGTGCGCACTGTCGAAAATTAATAAATGGGTGCTGACTGAGGAATACTTTGGGGCAAGGCGAGCCAATGGAACTTGGTAATGGCATCGGGAACTTCCGACTTTCGCCTTGCTTACTTTCAAAAGTGCCATAAATTCAAATGCAGTCTTGAAAAATTCACCCCGATTTATGATGATTCCTGCAATGTCGGGAAGTAAATAAATTATTAAAGTTATAAAATGAACTCAACTTTTGGCTTCTTCGCCAATCACAATTTGTTTTAAATTCATTTGAAATTCGCATTTTGTTTTTCTGGTAACTTCCTGAATGCCCGTATTAATTAAACTCGCACTAAGAGCAACTCCCACTACGGAAAAGTCCTCCTTTGCAGCTAAATAAAATATTTACATTGCGGAAAATATTCTCTTACTGTTTGGCCTCTCTGACTGCTGGCTGTTTCGCTTTGCAAAAGTTCTAAATATAATAGCGTAAATTAAATTAATCACAGCCATCGTCCGTTTCAAAAGGACACAGGCAAAAGTTGTGTCTCTGTTTTTCCAGCACTTTCTGGCACTTTGGCTGGGGTTATTCTCATTTTTTGTTGCGCAAGCGGACAGGTGGACCACTGGACAGGACAATATTCCCCCATTCACCCTGTCAGAATTCTGCATTTAGTACCTCAGTCAGTCAGCTACGATTGCGGCAGCACTTTTCCATTTCCCATTTTACATTTCCAAGGGCCGGAAGTATCGCTGTCCCTCTGTGGTCGACACCCTTCACCAGTGTCCTCAGCATAATCAAAACTTTGTAATTCCATTGTTGTCTTTTTTGGCCTGCCTTGTTGATCGTCAGATGAAAGGTGCACGGAAACAAAAGGGAATGTCTCCCAATTAGGGAGTTGGCTACTTAAAAAGTTGGCAACTTGATTAAAATAGAAGAGGAATTGAATTAGAAGTGAAGTATTACTTAGCATTCGATTAGGCAAACATCCCTTTGGCCGTAATTGATATCTTCAGGGGTGCGCCAGAGACGTGCCCATAGCCAGCCATAAATCAAGCCACATCTGGCGGAAATGCGCCCCACTAATTGTGTATTCATTTTGCAGGGTTGTGTGGCCATACTGAGCTTAACCTGGATTATCAGTCTGACGGTGTTTGGCTTTCTGGTGCTGCCCAAAGGTGAGCTGCCTCGTGATTAGCCTGCCATCAATATGCTCTCTCGAACACGTCTAACTATCTATATGCGCAGGTTACTACTTCAACAATACGGGTCTAATGGCCTGCGAGCCCTTCTACAGCAAGCCCTCGTACAGGATTCTGTCGACGTGCGCCCTCTACTTTCCCACGACCATGGTGCTGATGTACTGCTATGGCTCCAGCTTCCACATGAGCCGCTTCCGGCTCAACGATCCGACCATGCCGCTCACTGCCGCCGCCCATCACCCCCATCCCCACCCACATCCCACCGCCGCCCAGCAGCTCCAGATGCATCAGCAGCATCAGCAGCATCAACACCACCAGCAGCAACACCATCAGCAGGCGGGGATGCACTCGCACCTCTACCACGGCCACTCGCACCACCCACACCACCAGGGCCACCCCAACCATCCCCACCACCATGGCCCGCCCGTCATGGGGCATCTCAGCATGGCCATGAGCATGGGACTGGCCGGCATGCCGAACATGACAAACAAGATTACCAAAAAGGTGAGCAAGGCTGCCAGGTGGACAGGTGGGCAGAAGGAGGCGGGCTCCAAAACAGTTTGTTCAAGCGAGCGAGCTGGGGATTAAGTTAGCAGTAAATAGAATTTGCTCTGCCTGCATTGGCAAACAAATTGTTAAAGCTATCAGCTCGCAAGCTGAAACTAGAAAGAGTGCCAACAGCTTTTCGTATTTATGAGCACAGTTTTCCGCATTTGGCTGGGATATTTTACGATATCGGCACTGGCTTGTTAAATTAAATTCCAAAGTTCAACTAAAAGTTTTTCTATTTAGGAGGGAAAGTTGCTTTCCGTATTTAAAAGTGGTTTATGAAACAAATGTGAAGTTCTTTGTGTTCATTTTAAACAATTTACATGTAAAGTGCAATCCGAGAAGTTTAACATTCATTTTATGATCCTCAAGGGATGACTAGGCCACCCAACTAGCCAGAGTCCAGTATCTAGTTTCATCAAACATGTATATCAACCTATTGTACTTCTATTCCCCTCTGATTGCATTGCCAAAAACATTCCAACAGATTGTTCCCATCCAGGAGAAGAACTCGAGCGGATCCACCTCACGTTCGATGGCTGCCATCTCGCTGGGCTTCATTGTGATGGTCACTCCATGGACGATTCAGGAGATAGTCACTGCCTGCACTGGATCCAAGGCAAGTGTTGCTTATCGGATTATTGTTTAGCCCGTTTTCCTTTGCGTACAACGCGGCGCATACGTAATGAAGCCACGTCGGGCTCATCAGTTCTGATTCATTTTGTGACATTTTGCGTTGCCCTCTCTGCCCCTGCAGTTGCCGCCGTTCCTCGATTTCCTGGTCACCTGGACGGCGCTGAGCAATAGCTTGTGGAACCCCTTCATGTACTGGCTGCTGAACTCCGACTTCCGCCGACTGAGTCGCCAACTGATGCCGAACAAAGTGAGTTTTTCGATTGCGATAGATGAATCTTCCCTCTGAGGTTAATTTACAGCATCTCTGATCTGGAGCGATGTTCACTGTCTGTTTCAGCAGCAAATCTGTCATAAGCCCTGATTGATTGATTCGCTTATCCCTATTCCAAACACCCCAGGCACACACATTCATTGACCTCCCCGAATCCCAAATATGGGTATTTCACCCAAGTGCACATCCTCTGCAGCTCCCATATTTTCTGGCTGCACAACGCAAACTTTGCGTGAACAAAAACAGCTCTAAACTCCCAGCTCAGCTCGAACCTGGCCCTGCCCCTGCCCCTGCTCCTGCCGCGACCCCGAACGGCCCCATAAATCCGTAACCGAAGGTGTAAGCTCCAGGAAGCTGGCAGACTGGCTCCGGCAAAGTAAACAATCAACAGACACAGCAGCAACAATAACAGGACCTGCAAAGTGATTTTGAATTATGAAAGAGCAAATCCAAAACGGCATTTACATCCCCGTAGCCCCGTAGCCCCGTAGCCCCATAGTCCCACTGCCACGCAGCCCTACTGCCCCGCTCCGAAAATCCCTGATTCTATTTTGGGTAAACGCAGTCAAGTTGCATGATTTACTTCCGGAGAGCCGGAGAGCCGGGGGTCAGTCTGTGGAATATTTATGGCGCAACCTTGTGCTGTGCCGGAATAAATGCGAATTTAAAGTCCTTATTAATTTTTGTGCGAGTCCAAATTTATGACGCCCCTTTCCACAATCCCTCTTTGCCGTTCCAGTGCTTCCCCCACGAGGATACCCCGGAGCACAAATCAGGCTGTTGTCACATCAATGCTAACGATTTCGAAATCACAACGCTTCCGATTCCCCCGGAACCGCCATCGTCCCGTCCCCCGGCAGGAGGAGGAGGAGGCTCGTCCAGTGGCGGCGGCGGGGCGGCCAGCTCTGGCGGCGGAGTGGCCAGCTCGATTGGTGGCTCCGTTCTGGGGATTTGCGCCCGCTCGCGGGCAAATAGTTTGAGCCGCAGTGCCTCCCAGTACATCCGTGGCACAATGGGCGGTGGCATGCATAACCATCAGGCGGCGGAGGCCTTCTCCACCACGCGGCCCGACATAGAGGGCCTCTCCGAGAAGTACTGGGGTGAGATCCTAGAGCGAACCGTCAGCTCGGGCAATTTAAACGCCATGCAGAAGAACCTGCCGCCCCACCTGCCCTACACCCACCACCTGGTCCACCAGCTCCATCAGCCGCAGCAGCACCACCAGCAGCAGACCACCTCCTTCAGCAAGGCCAGCGATCTGCAACTGAATCTCAACCTCAGCCAGGCAGCTACGGCCGCCGAACTGGGCAAGTTCTCCAACTCGGAGCCGAAACTTTGTGAGCACCTCTTCCACGACGTCAACTGCGCCAAGAGCAAGGCCGCCAACGGGGGCGGCGCCCTGGATGGGGAGTCCTCCGGCAAGCTGTCCTGTGGGCGCAGCATTCCGGACATCTAGTACGCAGAGGACGTGATCTTGGCCAAAAACCAACTGCTGGCCCGGCAGGCAAAGTGCTCGCACCATCCGCTGCACCAGCAGGCCAAGATGCGGTCCCATCCGCACACGGGCAGCCTGCGCTTCAGCCGAATTCGGGCCGCCTGCCACAGTCCGCCGCCGGAGAAGTCCGGCTTCCCGATGGCCGAGTACCGCAAGTAGGTACGCAGCACGGACTCCCCAGACAAAGGTCTAACCACGCAGAGATTAGGGAGTGAGATCGAGCGAGTATCTTTAAGATTCCATAGGTGTATGTGCGTGTGAGTGTCTATATAGTATCGCATGAGCAAACCGTAATATGTGTGTCGTCTATTAGGATTAAGTCTAGGAGATCATAAGGGAGCTGTCGGGGGTTCAGTTTCACAGAAATCTGGGTAGCTTTCTCGTCATCGCGTCCCAGAGCAGCATAGGTTGTAATATTCGATTTAGTTATGATTTCACTTCTACAAAGGGATCAGTGGAAACCTGGAAGAGCCCTCCTCCAACATCAAAGTAAGAACTATTTTCATTAGAGGAATTCGTCTAATAGTTTCCGAATCCGATTAGCTAGACTGTTACCTTCTGTACTTCAAGCTTCTGCCTTCCGAAAGTCTCCAGTCCGGGGACTTCTTTTACGACCACGACCCTCCATCGAATTCAGCCAGTTAGGCAGACGTTAACCATAGTAAGTGTTCATTGGATGTGCGTGATACCCTGAGTTCCCGAACCAAACATACCCGCGTATACATAGATTAACCGTAACTGTTGTGTGTGTGCATCGGCTAAAATAAACTAGACTAGATGGTAAATGGTTTTGGCCAACTTGGTTGGCTCCTTCGGCGCCCTCAGAGGCCCAAGAACGTAGGAAGACACAGAGATATCAGACTTTCCTCTCAGATCCCGCTCGCAGTTAAAGGCCCCCCTCTCCCCCACTCTTACCACTTAAGGATCAAAGTAGTCCTGACATTGGCGGACCTTAAAGCGTTGTGGTTAATCATAGTTCTAGTTCCATAGCTCGAGTCTTATACCAAATTACTCACTGTTCTACGAATCAAAATCAAATCCTAACTTTGTGATTGTCAAGAATTTAAGTCGGTTGATGCGGACATTGCTGTTGAATCATTTTAATTTGTAGCCTAGAAACGTAATAGTTAAAGCCAAATAAATTTACAGTTAAGTACGTCTAATTTAGTTCACTGATGCGAGATGTGTGTTAAAGTATATACTGAATAGGCAAAAAAGGATTTAAATCAAAATAAATAAATATCACCAAAACGATTTGCATACATATTGTTTTTATACTGGCCCAAAAAACGCCGTTCTGGCCCACTCAAAAGGTAATTTCATGGCAATAACGTGGAAACCGTTTAAAAGGAAGCCAACGAATGGATCCCAAAAAGTAACAACAACGGACAGCCCAATTACACAGAAAAACATCAGCAAAGCTCCGCCGTGGCTTGGCTAAATAAATTAAAAATTATTTAAATTTGATTTTTATTGTGCCACGGAGCCTCCTCGACTCCCACTGGCCCAGATGACAGCACGGCCCAAATGCAAATTAATATCGCATACTGCGCTTAGACTTTCATTTGGCCACACAGGACGAGGGCGAAAGGACGCGGCCGTCAGAAATGCAAGATAAACGAACAAGAAAAGTTTGAAAACTAATTTTCGCAAAACAATTTTCAGAAGCCGCCCTGTCCCTTCCCTCCTCCCAAGGGGCAATGGTTTCTTTGGGCAATTTGAATCTCAAACTGAATCTGAATCTGAATCTGGATGTGGATGTGGATGTGGCTGTAGATGTGGATTCTTTTGCGTTTCTTTCGTGCCCGAAAAATTACACGCTCCGCTGCATTTTTTAACAATAATCGCCGGTGTTTGGCGTCTGACCGCGCCTTCAGCGCCCTACCGCGAAATCCAATCCCCCCAAACAGCCGGAAAATTTGGATGCAGGAATTCACGCCCTCCGACCATGAAAACTCCGAAAAAACTTTTCGCATGAAAGTCAACTTTTCCTTTTTCTTTCCTGATTCCCATTTGTTCGCCATCTGAGTTTTCTGTATAATTTGACGCCTGCCGGGAATTGGATTGGGCACCATTTGGTCCCGCCGACCCCTCCGCCAGGTTTTGGCCTAATTTGATTAACACTAATTGGGGTTCATCTAATTGCGGATGGCCAAAGCATCATGTGCTGCAATGGCACAGTTTTCAGTCTGCAAACACACGATTTATGACGGAAATAACTGCGGAAATTAAGGGAAATTTTGCTGAAATAAAAGTTATCCTAAAATGTTGCTCGAAGTTTACAATTTCATGAATATTGATCTCCAGTTCGCGGAAAATGTTGCTATATATTTGACTTTTCTAAGTAAGACAGAACAGCTTATTTTTACAAGTCCTCAACAAAGGTAAAATAGACTTTTGTTCCGAACTGTTTCTTGCCAAAGAACAAAAAGTTCAACATAAGTAGGTAGTCTCCCGTTGGAAGTGGAACTGGAACTTCAATGCGATGGAAGTCGCTCAGCATCTGCAAGCCCTAAAAGACGAAAGGTTTTAGAATCTGTTAACACCTTAGAAAGCGATCTAACCCTATAAGGACAGGTGTGGTTGAGAGTGGACACATCCTTGATCAAGTTCCAGATGATCTTCACTGTGGGATTATTTCGCTTCCGCATAAACTGACAGCCATCCAAGGTGACATCCACCAAGAAGGGCTTGTAGCCGTTGTACTTCTTCATCAGCTTCACATGGACGAACACATTACTGGTTGGCTCAGAGAGTGTCAGATTTATATTCGAGCTGGTCTTGTTCCGCGAATACGCCTTCAGCCGGCAGTAGTGAACGGCGATCCACGACTTGTTGTATGACTCACAGACCACGTTTGTCATTTTCACAAAAGGTGCCTCCTAGTTCAGAGTAATTATTTACTTTCCATAGATTATCATACGGGTTGGAGGATATCTTACACTGCAGACAAGAAAGGCCATCGTTCCGAATGCCAACAAAATTCCCAACTTGAAGTCCATGGTTTTACGAGGGAGTCTGCGAAATGCTTTGATTAAACCTCTAGAATAATATGGCACTCTATTGGAGCTTGACGATGAAATAGCCAATTTGGTTGATGGGCAATTTCCGATGCCCGATTACGATCGCTGTATTTAAGTACTTGTATTGCAATAATGACCAGATTCGCTTGAAATCAGATAATTTGCCTTGCTAATGGTCGCTTATAAATCTTCTATAAAGGTGAAGTATACATTTGTTGAGAACTGAGTCTTAGCATAAAATATCCAATCTATTAGGAGGAGATACTCCCCAGAGGGCCACGGAAGGGGGATTTTGATTTCATGGAAGTCGCTTACGGCTTGCAGACCCTGTAATACGGAGATGGCCAATGTTAGGACTTCAAATAGATGATCGACATACCTCATAGGGGCAGGTGTGGTTCACCGTCGACACATCCTTGATCATCTTCCAGATGATCTTGGCTATGGGCTGGTTCCGCTTCCGCATGAACTCGCACGCATCGAAGGTGTAATCGATCAGGAAGGGCTTATAGCCATTCGCTCTCTTTAAGAGCTTTATCTTTACAAAAATATTGTTGGCTGGCTCCAGAAAGGTGGCATTTACATTCAAGCTGGTTTTGTTCCGGGAATAGGCCTTCAGCCGGCAGTAGTGGAACACGACCCACGACTTGTTGTAGGACTCGCACACCGCATTGGTCATCTTTACAAAGGGCGCCTCCTATTAAGGGTCAGTGTAAGTACGTTTATTGCAGCCAAGTTACCATCTTACACCGCAGATTAGAAAGGCGAAACATCCAAATGCCACTAAAACTAAGAACTTTAAGTCCATGGCTCAACGCTGAAGCTTGGCTGAAGACTGAAGGGCAACATTTTTGTATAATAACTTAGTTCAGTTTAGTTCTTTTTGTAATTAATGGTATTTTAGTTTGAAAGGCCACTTATTTAGTAATTATTTTGCTATTAAAATAAGATCCTAATAACTTTATAATAATACATTCATAATAATGATTTATTTATTTTGCGATTAACTATTAGCCTGTTAATGACACCATGACGATATGTTCAGCCAACTCTTTCTTTTACCAACACAAAGCACAACGAACCAGAAAATGACATTAACATTTAGAAGATCACACTATCATAGCAAAACTCAGTGTGCAGTCTTTTCTCGTTAATATCGAATCCAGCAACGCTTTCCAGTGTTCAGGGGAGTCTAAACAAATCACACGCCCTCGAGCCAATAGCCGATGTTTCCAGAGCCAAAATGAATGTTTGCAAGCCCAAGGCGGTTGGTCCTGATGGACTTTTTGTGAGGAAGCGTTTCACGCGACATCCGGTGGTGATTTCGGCCAAGAGATTTGCTGCCATACAAGGACGCTCTCGCCAGGATGAGAAGCATGCCCAAATGGAGGCCGTGGAGGAGGAGCGAAGATACCGCCAGTATCTGAAGGATGGCAACGATCTGCTGTGCAGCTTATTCACGGATCCCACAGTTCCAAAAGTCAAGAAGTCGGAAAGGGCCAAGCTCAAGGAGGCCAAAGAAGCCGTCAAAGAAGTGGACACCAAGTTGGCGGACGAGCGTTTGCGCAAGCAGAGGATCCTGCGGGCCAACAACCTATTGGATCAACTGAAGCCCGGACCGCGAGCCCTGCACCAGGCTCTCCTGGAGAGCGAGATGATCCACCAGAGGAAGTACCATGAGGCCTTAAATGAGGAGATAGCCGAGGCAGCCCGTGCGCAGGAGAGGGCCGATGAGGACCTATGCCCGGCAGCTCTAGTACCCTTTGGTCATGCCACCGAGGAGGAGGAGGTAGCCAAACAGACGGCCAAAAACCTGGAGCACGCCAAACTCATGCGTGAGGACATTGCGCAGAGAGAGAAGATCAGGGAAGCCGAGCGGGAACAGAGGATCTTCGAGGAGAAGGTGGATCGGGCGCAGTACAAATGCCTGCAGGAGAAGGAGGAGAAGGAGCTCAAGGAGAAGAAGGCTCGAAAGATAGCCTTCTACCGCAAAGCTCATCGGGATGCCATAGAGGAGAAGGCCGAGATCGCAGAGCGTAAGTGCAATCGCTGACCAATAGCCACCTCTTAGTATTTACTATAACTCTCTGGCAGACGAGAGGATCTGCGATGCCATCGACGACCGGCGCAACTGCGTCTATATCGTGGCCAGCCGCAACCTGGACAGTCGCTATGGAAGGCATGTTAAGGAGCTTCGGCAGAAGCGTCAGCAGGACAGGGAGCAAAAGGCTATCCTCGTCTGTCGAGCGCAGAAGGCGCTCGAAAGGAAGCTGGAGGAGCGCCAGATAAAGGAGGAGGACCGCCACGCCTTCGAGACGGAGGTGGACCAGAACCGGCGCCTGTGCGAGATAGAAGTTTTGGCCAAGCAGCGCAGGGCGTACCAGTTGGTGGAGCGGGAGCAGGACGCCGAGAAGCTTCGGCGACAACAGGAGCTGCAGCGCTTCCATGTGGCCCGCCGCCTCAAGAACGCCGAGGCCAATCGGTTCTTCGAGGCCTCCCAGAAACGAAAGAGGGACAAGGTTAAGGAGGACCTGCGAAACGTGCTCTTCGGCCAGAGGGATGAGTTCCTTGAGAAGCGTCGCGCTGAACTGATGCAGCTGACTGCCTGCAATGAGGATCCCTACTTGGAGGACGACAAGAAGTTCTTCGAGCAGGCTGTCCAGATAATGGAGGAGTCCCGGAAAGTTGGTCGACCCCTGTACCCCATTGCCACCGCCGTGGATCGCTACGAGCGGGAGAACCAGCTGGACATGCGACCAGAGGGCAAGATAGTGAAGAGAAGTCGCCTGCGGGACTACTGCTGGCCGGGATTCTATTCCAAGGCGGAACTGGCCTACAGGAAGTACGAGCAGCGCGAGATGTGCCGCGAGGAGCAGGTGGCCGATCGCCACCAGATCTACTGCAATTCCGTGAAGATCAAAAAGCTGGCCGAGGTGGAAAGCCCGTATACGCCCTGCGTGGCCTCTTGCCCCATCAATTGCTTCCATCGCAGGGGAATGCCCGCCACGGACAGCACGGAATCCTTTGACTACGGCCGTCATATCTGTTACACGGACACCCCCACCGTTGGGGCTTGTCCTGGTCCCATGCAGGTGATCCACAACGATCCGCTGGATAGCCAGAGGAAAATCAGCCAGATGTCGATGAAACTGCCACCCATGCCAGATTTGACTAAAAAGGAACCACCATCCTTTCGAGCGGTTGCAAACAGGGTTATCGGTTCTATAACCAAGCCCGAATTGGTCCCAACTGTCCAGACGTCGACCACAAGCTTAAAAGGTCCTCCTGCACCTACAGGTCCGGTAACCAGACCAGCAGCACCCACTCAGCCTGAACCTAAATCTCCAGACAATGTCAGTCTGCCGAAATCCCAGCCTCCCGTGAGGCCTAGGACAAAACGAGGCTCCAAGAAGGCCAGTTCCGTGACAAAGCCGCCACCAACTGGTAATGATAGACCAGCACCAGTGCCGAATCCAACGGGAACCTGGGGATCTGGGTCTCTCCAGCCAGCCCCGACCAAGAAGGGAAAGTAACCAAGAAACCTTGACTTGATTTTACCAAAATTTACGTTCCTAGAACTTATTGTATTGATGTTGTCCGTTCGCCAAAGATAAATATAGAAAAAGGAAGCCCAGCCAGAAGCTCAGTCACCATCCAATGGAGCCAGACAGCCAAGGAAATGACGTTAATGGTTTTTTAAAAGCACTTAAACTTGGCGCACAAGTCCTCTTCCCCTGCTCCAGTTTTCCTTTGCCATTTCCATTTCCATTCCCACTTTGCTTTCGCCATTTTCCCATTTTGTCGGCGTAGTCGATGGATCGGATGGTAACCCTTTCCAGGGTCACTTGGCACGCATTACGCGCTTTGTTTAGCACAGAATCTCCGGCGGAGAGTGGCCAGCTTCATAAATTCCAATTAATGCGCAGCCAAAGTTATTGGGTTACGTTCTCTTCTTCCAGCACCTCCTCCTGCATCCTTCCGCCGCCATCTTCATCTTCATCTTCATCAATTTGCGGCACTGAGTGACATCCATTTTTGTTTTCATTTAGCTTATTACCGGACAGACATGTCCGGCGCACCGCCCGTAACTTAATTTCAACTGCTAACCAGGCTGATGAACCCGGGAAACCTCCGGCGGAGTGTTCTGCCCGGCCAATCTCGTCAGGATAATTACGACGGTCCTCTTTCTGGAGCAGGCCAGCCGTCCCAACGGGTTAATCAGTCGTCGTTCAGCGCTTTGTTGCTGTCTTTCGGGCTTAGTCGACCGCTCAGCTCAAAATTAACGGAACCGGCCTTCTTCCTCTTCCTCTCCTTTGGCAAGTTTCGAAAAAGTTGCCGCCTGCAAAGTTAACCAATTTAGTGCCATTAACCACAAATTGCTGAATCGCTTAGCCCGGCCGGGCAGGTTCATCCTGGAAAGTCGTACAATTAGCTCAGATGCATAAAATTGCGGACAAAAAGCGGGGAGAAAAGAATTTCCACGTGAAAGCTTAAATACACTTTATCAATTTTATAACATAACCAAAATCATCTTCATTGTTATGTTAAGCTAGCACAGAGTTCCATATCAAATTCATAGTTTCGAAAAGAAACTAAACTAATAATCAAATTAGATGATAGCCAAACAAATAAAGGTCTAAGTAACGAAACTCAGTGAAACTTTCAGAAGTAATTTTGAATTGTTTTTGTTTATTTTCTATTCCGGAAACCTAAACCTAAACATTGAACTTCCATTTTCCCCCACTATTTTCCAATCGCTTTTGATTCATTCAGAAAATTGAAATTGGAAAGGCCTGTTTCGAATTGTATTTATTGTTTGTCCAGCGAAGGGAGATATTTTCCGAAAGCCCGTATGCAATATTATTTCCGTGGTAAGTTTTGGCGGCAAAATTGGGTGGTGGCTAGGAGAGTAGTGATAGGAGGAGCCAGCGGCGATACAATCAAATATTCTGGAAAACACAGACTGGTAAAAGAATGAAATCGCCGGGTTGGAGCGGAGTTTCCAATCGAATGCAAGTACTTTGTTTACTAGAACAGCATTCGGATTTGTTTATCCACATCCAGGCTCCGTCCGGAATTGGTAAATATCACAAATAACAGTGCGAGTTTTGAATTTCCGTGTGGTAAATTGGTAAATGCCATGAATAAATGATGGCGGGCGGATCAACAAGTGGCCGGAGAGCCACAAAGGAGTCGCTAGAGAAAAGCCGTTCTCTGCAGACAATAAGAAAACACATTCCCGGCTCAATTGTAATGTAAAACAAAACGCCCGCTTCCTCTCGAAGCCTTCTCTTGCTGTCCTTTTTCCGCTTTCCTGAGTTTTCCACCCGCCGTGCTCATTATACGGTCTGCCAGTTTAAAACTCAATAAAAGCTGCAGTATGAAAGATTACTTAATGAAATTAAGTGTGAAAAGTGCGAGAGCTGGGAGAAAGCGAAAACGGAAAGAGAGAAAAGGAGGCGGGAGAGTGCTCCATTCTCCACTCGACGGGCAAAATGCGTCGAGTGGTGCGGAAAACTGAAAACTGAAAGCGCCAGGGCGGCAGTAAATAATAATAAAGGCATGACTTGTTGGAGATGCCTGTGGAACACGAACAGAAACAGAAACAGGAACGGGAACAGGAGCCGACTCCTTTTGCCGCGACTCGCAGCAATCGCAGGACTCGAGTCCTTGCGGACGCCTCAGCGCTGTGTAATTCCCATTATCGGCTTAGCAGGTCGTGTCGGCAAGTGGATTTTGATTGCGCAATCCACTGAACTCAGGACACACCGAGATAAATATATATTACTCTTATCGAATTCCCTTCATCTTTACTATAGTAACCATAGGTCCCCTTTTCAAGGACCTTACGTATGAACCAGGAACTTGTGATTTCCAAGACTAGTAATTCTTCTCACTGCTTAGTGAGAAGTTATTACCAATACTTTCTTAGAGTGCAAACTACTAAGCCCTAAGCGGACTCTCTGGTTCAAAACTACCAGATGATTGCCTTTAATAAAGACAACGACTCTTCAGTTTGCTACCCATTCAAGCTGGCAAGTGGCTGATATGGCCAGCTCTGTGTGTTTGGTATAGTATCAGGTGTGTCTTGCCTGGCCATATCAGCGCACTGATACAGAATCCGTTTAATTGCAACAACAAGACTTCAGATCAACATTTGTGCATGAGGAAGGGAGAGTGCCGGGAGGCAATGGGGAGAGTGTTGGGATTGGTTGACTCTAAGAACGTGGACTTGCTGGTCGAGGATAAGTGACTTATTGGCACCGGCTCAGGCGTTTCACTTGGCATCAGGGCCTGCTCATGGAGCTGGAAGCCAAAGAGACTGCAAATGGGAACTTCTGGGTAAGAACAACTACGGAGGCCACATCCATATACTCACCGGGCCACGTACTTCTCGGTGGGAGGTTGAGGCTTCATATTCGGCAGCTGCATGAAGAACATATGCGGAAAGCCGGTCCCAAACATGGCTCCATCCAGCAGCGCACAACGCGATCTGGGCTGATAGATGTCGTGGCAGCGCGGACAGTAGATCTTCACGTGAGACTGAGTCCACTGGTCGGAAAGGCCGACGGGCAGGGTCCTCTGCCCCTTACAGAAGACCCTCGGACACACCCCGAAGTCACCCCTCTCGTACTTCAGACACATATCCTCCACGCCCCGCGCAGTGAGTATGTAGCGGGCGTGGATCATGCCATACAGCTGCTCCGCATCGGTCGTATCCACCCCGTTGTCCCAGCCCTGGTGATCGAACTCTGGATCCAAAACCAAGTCCAAAGTCTGGCTAAAATACTCCAGGCCAGTCAGATTGAACTTGTCCTCAATGTAATCGGTGGGCACGCGGCAAACGAACTCGTTGCCCTTGATGGCCAGAAACCAGCTGATCCAGCTGCCATCTCCCATTGAGTCGTGGCTGTGGCTAAGAGGGGGAATGGAATGAGTACTTTTCTCTTTTTCCTAAAGAAATCTAATTAACTTACGCGCGCGACATGTTTCTTAGGGGCTTGTAAAAAAGAACTGAAGCAAATCCGGTTCGAAAAAAATGACAGCAAATCTCACGGCCTGCTACCATCGATTATTAAAATACCGATTGTAAAAGTAGGTTATAGAGTTGCCTTTTATGTAATTGGTTTTTAATAGTTTTTAAGTTCATAATTAAAGGGTGTGTGTTCACTTTTGGTGAGACTTTGTAAAAGTCGTGGCAACAAGAAGCGGCTTTGACGCTCAGGGCAATATTGTCAATCTGACGGATGCCCAACGTGAGACGAAGGGATGCGTGGGACTTGACCGTGCAACCGGGAAATTCCTCGACCCGGCATCCTTGATAACTGCTGCGACCTGAGCAGGACCTCCTCCTCCATTATAGCTGGCAACCTTCTGCTCACCGATGAAGTAATGCAGACCGGCAAGGCCTCTCCGAAGGGTTATCTAAGAAGCCTTATCTAAGAACACCTTAATAAAGGCGGCCATATTTAACCCCTGAAGCCACTTTCGGTTAAAGCACTGGATTTCAGGAAATGGAAGGTAAACTTCTAACGCTCAGAATGACAGTCTGGGGAACAAAAAAAGAGGAAAAAGAAGATCCAAATGGAACTCACAGCAAAAAACAGTGATGCATTGTTGTTAGGAAATGTCAATTGGAAGGACAACTTAAATTTAGATTGGGTAATCAGGTAAAATATATATTATTTAGGAAAATCATCAATAGATATGACTTTAGGCCGAAATCAAAGGAATTGAATCAAACCATGACAAATATTTTCTGCATGTGTGCGCGCTCTTCTCTTATTTTTCCCAAAAATTCAATTCCCATTTTCACTTAAAACTTTTTAACTTGGTTGGCCGGAGAAGAGCGGACGCGCCTCCGCCGGAGTGATAAAGTAAGCAAATACGCCCTCGAGACAAATTAAGTGATTTGCCCGCTTTACACATTTTTCCTGCTGATTACTTTTCCCCCACTCCAGGCCGAAATTGAATTGCCGAAAAAAAAGAGGAGACGCAGCGCGAGGACTGGTTATCAACTTTTGATTGGTCATGAAAGTGCGAACAATCTGGCCCGGGGCCATGTCCAGACTCAGGAAACTCGGGGCCGCCGACTGGCCTCCGCCTCAGCCTCCAACTCGGAGCGAACCGTGCGCACCAGATCGGCCAGCACCTTGTGATCAATCATACGCAGGGGCTGCTTGTACTTGAGCACCGCCACGTCCATCTGGTTGTGGGTCAGTGAGGACACGCTCACCAGGGTGCGTACAATGTGCTTGATGGCCGTAGGCTCGTCGGCGGAGGCCAGAATCTCGTCCGAGTGCTTCTCCATATAGTCCCGCACTGGCTGGCCCGACCGGCCGGTGCTGTTTGCCCTCCACTCGTAGTAGATGCCCGAGGGCTCTGTTTGGAACAGGTGCGGAGTGCCGTCCTCGTTGAAGCCGCCCACCAAACAGGACAGCCCGAACGGACGCCTTCCATTGCTCTGCGTGTAGTTCTGCTTTAGCTGGGCTATGAATCTGAAAATGAAAAAGGGGATAGGGTAAGAAGGAAACTCGATTGGCTTTGTGGCCTGCACTGAGAGACTACGCATTGCATATATATTATATATTATATATATTATGATCCATATATTATATATATGCATTAAGCTCAGGAGGACTCTTCCTCACCGTGTTATATACTCCACGGTCACGGGCTTCTCAAAATTCAAGCGGTGACTCTGGGACTCCATCTGGGCGCGGCTTACCAGGATACGAGCATCTGCCGTCAGCCCGGAGAAGGTCATCACCACATGGTCGTCGAGCATGCAAATCTTGCGCACCATTCGCTCCTCCTGCAAATCGCTCACGGACCTCTTCTCCACGCCCAGTACTATGGCGTTGTTGGTGCGCAGACCCAACTTTAGGTCGGTTTTGGGTGATTAAATAAAGGTCAAGGCAAGATGGCAGGGAATTACCACAGTGGATCCTCTTCGCACAGCCTCCTGGGCATACTCCACCTGCAGGAGGTGACCATCGGGCGAGTAAATGGTCACTGCGCGATCATACCGCTCGGCCATTTGAGTTGCTTTCTGGTACTGAAATTGAAAATGAGTAATAGGTGTGTGTAAGTTGTTCGCAAGCTGGAAATTTTCAAGTTAATGTCGTAGCGCAGAAAGATGTTAGCATAAAATTAAAGCGCCTGCTAAACCTTTTCTCAGTTTTCAAGTTTAGCTTTCTTCTTCCCAATAAAAGTAACTTATTATGGGAGATAAGACCAGTCTTGTACCCATTATGATAAGTGGTTAGCCGTTTTGAAGTTGATTATTATGGCTGTTTAATGTACTTTTTGTCAGAAATATGATTTATTTTCAATTTAAAAACAGGCTATTAAATCACTGTGCAATAATCGAATTCACTGCAATAAAGGTAAATCTGCATAATCCAATCTACGATCGAATTAACAATTACCAACTTAATCAGATTAGCGATGTCAAAACTAAATCGGGCAATTACAATAAAACCTGCCATGTTTTGTGAAAATTTCAATTTGTTTGGCTCACCTTTTCGGAGAAACAAGTTTAAGCATCCGACCCTGTTTAAAGAGGTCCTGGACAAGGTCCTTGGCATCTGCTCCCCAGTAAAGCAAGTCCTGTGGCTGAAATGCTGACAACAAAATCACAAAGTGCAACAAAAGCACAAATCTCTGGCCAATGTAATCGTAATCGGAACAGCTTCATTTTGCTAATGTGCTTAGCCAACCGGGGAAGCCTCGACTCTCCGGCGGAGTCCTTTTGCGACTCTCCGACGAACTTCTTATGCGGTGCTTAGTATGCCGGCAGCGCGCGCTCTGCCATAAATTTATATTTAACATTTTATGACAACCGTGTTCAGCAGAAGGGGACAGCGAGCAGTCCGGCATGTCCTGGAGGTGTGGCGCATACTCACCAGGATTAAACACGTGCCAGCCGGCAATAGCCAATCCCCAAAACAAACGTTTACTAAAAGTGCGGCTGGCGAATAAATAAATTAAGCGAAACGGCAAACAAAACGACCTGCAAATAGAATCACAAAAATGCAATTATTTTCCCAACGACCGGACACTCTGAATTTACACACGTTGTCGCCTGTCCAAAGGTTTGCAGTTCCCATTTCGCATTTCAGATTTCGCATTTGGCCAATATGTTTTATGCAATCGTAGAAACGCTTTTTGTTTAAAATTTCATTGGCATCGCCGCTGGGCAAGCGCTAAATGAATTAATAAAGGCATTTATCAAAATTGACAATCGAAACGCATTAGCCGGCCGCGGAATATAAAAACTCCATGATTTGTGTTTTCTAAAGTCCGCGAGTTAACCATATTCCTAGTAACTGATGCAAAAACTTTATGAGCATATGTTTATATATGAATTATTGTATTTGCTTATTTGCTTTTCATTTAATAATATAATTTGGGTAACGAGTGTTAAGCTTTTTGTTTGTATTTGGTTAAAGGCTTCAATAAGCTCAATGCATTCAATTTTTTCAGTTACAAAGTACACACCCCCCTTCGTCTAAAGGCCTCCATCAACAGTTAAACCCTTGTTAAACTTGTTAATTAAATAGGAATTTTCGATGTTAAGACCATGGCTTCATTAGCACTCAGAGCAAAGTAGCAGATGGGGGACGGAATGCTTTGGCCCCGGGCAATGTGAGAAAATTAAGTATACGCCGTGTTTTCGGTGCGTGCCCCTGCCGTTTGGCATTTGATTAAGCACTTTTGCTCCATAAATAGTGAGCTTTGCCAATCGAAGGGGCTCCTTCGCTCCGAACAGGGAATTGCCCTTGAGACAATCGAGGAGTGGAATGGGATTGGTTTCGGGGAATTGGGATTGAGACGAGCAATAAGCGGAAAAGGCGGAAAAGCAGAAGAGCGGGAGAGCAGACAAGACAGCCACATAAAACAAGGCAACAACATGTGCTAAAAACAGCAGAAACTTTGGCGGCCAAAACCGAGGGAACTTGCCACGATTTGTTTGCTTCGAGCTTAATTTGTAGCGTCAAATGGTGTTGATTGTTGTTTTTCTTGCCTCTAACCCAGCAACCCAGCAACCCAGCCACCATCCACCAGCCAGCAGCACCCAAGAACCCACTTAAGTCCACTCCATACTCCACAACCCCCCTCGCCGGCGAAACTAAAGACCCAATAAAAGTTGAGGACGCTGTTGTGGATAAACAAGGTTTGGAGCACAGTTTCAAGTGATTCCATTGTTCTGAAAGTCCCACTCCGATGTGTGGAAATTAATGACGAGCGATTTGAACACGACGGGAATGGGAATGTGAATGTTTGGGATTGGGATCGGGATCGGGATGGCTTGGGCCGGGAGTTCTGACGCTAGTAATGTGTTTACATGGTGAAAATGTTGGCAGTCCCCGATTGCCTGCGGCACGAAAAAAACATATTTCAGCAATTTGTCAATTAATCATTGTGGAAAGTATATATAATTTTTATTGTCATACCTTGGGGTCCCTGCCACCCGCTTCCCTCTGACATTATGGAATTTATTGCATTAAATTAGTCCTGCCTTATCACTCAGTGCTTTAATCATTATTCATTTCCACAAAAAGTAGTTTGTTATAGAATAAATATATTCCAATTTAATATTTTGGATGGGTTGTGAGCAGGCCACCATATTAGAATGTTTATTCTATAGCCGATTTGATACCTTAAACGTTCCCCAAGAAATACTTATAGTTTCATAGCATAGCATAGACGACTTTAGTGCAGCTGTGGTCTTTGTAAATATTTTCACTGCCCCTCCAATCTCGGCCATTTAATCAGTTTGTATTTGTATTCCCCCAGCCCTTCCCCTTCCCTGCCAGGCGTCAACGTGCTTATTGTTTGGTTGGCCTGGACGAGCTGACGATGGCAAAATGCAAATGACCTTTGACCATTGACGGCAGACGGCTCCCGAGTCGGGGGCTATTCCAAAGGCAAACCTGAGGCTTCAGGTTGCCATGGCTCCATCTCTATTTCTATATTACGTATACGTAGCTCTGCGTGTGTCTCGGTTAAGTAAACACAGGCGAGGAGCAGGGGACGCACCTGATGTTTCAAACGGTGCCCTCAGACATTCACCTGAGCCCTTTTTAATAAACCTAGCAATGCACACGGCATTGTTGACTTAGTCCTTTCGCAGCTCCACCTCCTGTACTTCCTGCCCCTGCTCATTCCCCTGATGATTATGGAGATGCTGCGAGATCCTGGCACCAAAGTGTCGTTTTGAGTCAACGAACTTTGGCTTGGCCAACAACACCCGCCCTCTCGGTGGTCGGGTATAAGGTCATTTGCGTTTACTCAAGCTGTTCCTCTTGAACTTGGCAGCCGAAGATGATCCTGCCAGGACACGAAAGTAGGTACAGATCGAACACTAATGGCACAGAAATGAAATGCATTCCCTTACCGTCTCGGAATCACCACTATAAACCCGATAATGTCCAGCAGGACCTCCTCGTTACGTCATTATGGCGTGTGTGGGAATTCGATATCGATAGAGTTCGGTTTAATTAGGAACAAATGTTACCTCTGCTGCGAAGGCTGTGGGGTCTTGCGGCGTGCAGCAATGTAATTTAGAAGTTTAAACTTGCCCACTGCCAATTCCATTTCCAAGTTCCAAGTTTCTCTCACGCAACCGCTAGTAAAGTGCACCCAATTGCAGTAAAGTGCAAGTGGAACTGCAACTCCATCAGTCAGCAGCTCGGCCCCTCGATTTTCCACTTTTCCCGCATTTCCGCATTTGCCAGCTAACTAAAAGCCAAATGGCGACAAATGCTGTGCGAATTAAGGAGCAGAAGGGAAGGTATTGATGGAGAAATGGAGAAAAATGCAGCATTCGGAAGAAAATGGAAATGGAAGCGAATCGAGTCAAATCGAATGGTGGTGCGGGAAGTGAAAAGTGGAGAGAGCGAGTTCTCCGCTAATGGTCAGCGAGGTCGAGGAAATTGTGAGTGCCTCAGCTGTCGCGCACTTTCGACTTATTAAAGTTGCAAGTCGTTCAATTTTTCAGTTCCGAGTGCATTGCAATGACACCCCGCCCATCTATCATATCGGAGATGTGCAAAATCAATCTGCGATACTGTATCAAACGTCACATAGAACACGCAATCGCACCGAAAGTTTCGAATTTCAGTGATATATTTCCCAGCTCACACACTCAGATAGAAAAGCCAGACGTGCAACTAATTTATGCATTATTCCTGGAGGCAAGTGCAGGTGAAGGCAGACAAACAAATCCCGAAAAACCAGGAGAAACTACCAAAGACACCTTCAACGGAGCCACCAAATAAAGAGCCGCAGGGAGTTGGGAGTAAACAGCCAATTGGATAGAGACCAAATCAATACCACATATACATTCTTATCCTTAAAGTTCTAAGAGCGACGGGAAGGACCTGTCGATTTCTCTGGGTTTATGGAGTTTCCCGGTGCAACTGCAGTGGAGCAACTGCAACCACGACACGGGACCCCGTGCATATAAACATTTCACAGTGCGGCGACATATCTGCGATATTTTTATGGCCAACGTGCGGGCCAACGCTTCCTTTTGGCCAGGCTAAAAAAACACGAGAAAAATGTGTCTGTAGAGCGCTCTTATCTCTGTATAATCCACTTTATATGTTCACACCGCCACACAAATTGAAAATAAACACAAATTCGGGTTACGAGGGAAAAGGAAAACTCAGCCGGGGATTACCATTTATTGAGAATCAAAACCCGCATTCATAAGAGACATAAACTCTGGCCGGATGGCTTTAAAGATGTACTCTTTTCACAGACGAACTTTTACCAAAGTCTACTAAATACTTCCCCGGAAACAGCTCACAAAAGTAGGCCTACAGATCTACGCTTTTCTGTCAGTTTTAGAGAAATTTTTCAGTTACACAAGTGTATATTGTATTGGTTTTGCCAAATGTTTAGATCTGCCAAAAACCAAGAATCATCCAAATTTCAAAGTGCAGTGATGCAACGAGTAGTCTCGGTTAAGCCAGGTAATATTAGGTCCGTGAGTACGCGTCCGGCCTTCGTTCCACTGATTTCAGTGTTTCACGAGGAGAAGGGAAAAAATGTGGCCAAGGATTCTTCAGTTGCTTGTGATATATCACCTCCTACGGTTTCCGAGAAGACGACGGAGAAATCGAAGTCGAAGCAAAAGAACGAACCCCAACGATTTATAAAACTTGCAAGAGTTAAAGAAGAAATAGTAAGAAAAGCCATGGACAGCCCGAAAACTGTAAGAGCAGCTTCCTCGCGGACCACTGGGAGCACTAGGAGCTCTACCTCCAATAGGATCAATCAGTTTTATATTCCCCTACGGATTTCTAATGGGGTAACCAGCCGGATTCGACGCCCCTCCGAGCACGGCGTTTTCCATTACCACCTGTCCCAGCTGGAGAAGACCGGATTCGGCGAATGTATCAGATATCCCATGAAATCTGTGCCCGCGGCGGAGCTTCTTCTGCTGCGGAATGGCCAGCGTGCCTCCTATCTTGAGAGGCGATACGAACGGAGCCCGGACGACAAGTACAACTATCCCGAGGCAACCAGCTGGCGGTATGGCTGGTTCCACCGCGAGTCCGATCCCTATCAGAAGCGACTACCCAGACGGGACTAGATCCACCTTTAGTACAGTTTAGTATACTTTTTCCAATGTCCATAACTAGTCAACTAATAAAACATATCCATGTAAATTTAAATACTTGGTTTTACTATTAGCTAACTAAAACTAAACTAAACTAAATCCGACTGTGTATAACCATAAACCTTATCACGTTGTCATCTCAGCGAGTTAGCCCCAAAGTCTGGGAATATCTTTTATTGACTTGCCGCCTACGGTTTATATAAATAGCAATAACAATGTTCCGAAGAATAATTCTATAATCAATTTTCTGTCAAGCCTATGAAATCAGAGATCAAATGAAGTTTCAAAGCATTCAGTTAGTGACCTAGTTATGACTATTTGTGGCCCAAGATTGAAAAGTAAAACTTTATGGAAAAAGAAACTTGCCAGGGCTCGGCAAGAGCAAATTAAATGTAAAAATTCAGTAATCCATTTGAGCATCTGCATCTGGTGTGCATCAGCGCCTCGACGAGCTCATCCCGAGTTATAATACGATATGTGGAGCACATGCCAAGAGCTTCAACTGACAGGCCGACTTTCTGACAGGCCCGACTTCTGTTGTTTAGCTGCTTTCGAAAATGCAGCAGTTTTTCAAGTTGTGCCTCTGATTGGCCAGAAAATAAAATGCAGCAAGGACAAATTGCATTAGGCAAAGGGGTGGAAGATGGAAGACGGAGGGCGGACGGCGGACGGCGAAGGATGTCTGCTGCTCATATGACGTACAACTGGGCGTATGCTTGTTGCGTCCTCTGCCGTCTGTTGTCTGGCATTTAAAGTGGGGCAAAGTTGGGCAACTTTCAGGAACTCGTTGCGGCTGCCGGTCTTTTGATTGACTCATGAAAGTCGGCAACTTTTTAATTGTTTTGTAACATTTCTTCAAATAATTCTGCCATTTTTACGCCGACCTGCTAGTTTCATTTCATTGAGGGATTCTCCGGGGCGTTGGCTTTCAAACTTATTAACTTCGTTCCATGGCGAAATACTTTAGATTCTCCCAGTCCGCTTGTCTTATGGTATGTCCTCTGTCGCTGATTGTCTGCAATTCATGGCAGATTTCGAGTTTCATTGTTGCATCCGAAGCACTTTGAGCTGCGCAAACTTTCGCCGAGACACAAAGCAGAACTTTCCTGTCCATCTACCATATCCTGCGACCCCTTTGGACCCATCCCGGCATCCTACCCCTGGTCCGACGAGTCGGTCTGTCTGCGGTGGCCGGTTGTTCCGTTGTTGGGTTTTGCCTGATTGCAAACAACAATTCCCTCCCAGCGGAGCTGAAGTTTATTATTATTTGGCTTGTTTCGCGTTTTGGCGGGTTTATTTACCTTTAAATAAATTTCCGTTTTATTCTTTTCCAGCCCTTTGCGTTTATTTGCTTTCGATTTGGTAGTTGGTCGGAAGTTTCCTGTGTACTTTCGCACACACTGGGATTGATTAATGTTGGGGCATACGCACAGAACTAATCCTTATTTAAGGCAGTCCTTCACTCGATTATATTCTATGGTTCGCCTCGAAAAGAGGCCAAAGCATTCGGGAACATTTGTAAATATTTTACGAGTACCACACTTTCTTGGCCGTTGCTGAATATGATGGGAATTTATGGGTCAGCGGGCAAGCAAAGATGAAAATTTTGAACATTTTGTGGTAATTTTTATTACTTCTATTGCCCAGGATATGATGCTGAACATGGACTGCCCCTCCGCTACCCCAAGCTCCCTGCTTCACGTTGGCCAAAACTAACTTGGCCGTAAAAGTTTGGGTTTTGTGGTTGCCGATTGCGAATCACAGCCGGTCAGTTGGCAAGACCCGGCTGCTGGGGGTGGTCATGAAACACCATTCCGCTCCCGAGGCAGTAAACAATGCAAAAATATAATTCTTAGCAATCAATGCGGTTTGTAAGAGCACTTTTTCGGTCGGAGTCAGTTATTTAAAAGTCCCGAATGGCTTCTCAGTAGTAATTTCTGGGAAATTGTTGATAATGCCAGACAGAAATTGTGCATTTGCATGGAAAATCATTTCACAAGTAATAATAAAAATAATCGACTTTGTTGGCCTCGTAAATTACACTCAGTTAATTGTTTTTATACTAACTTTTATTTGCGAAACACTTTTACAAATTCTCTCTAGCTAACTCAAGCACACACATTATTGTTAAGAGTTATCACGTGGTTTTAATTAGACTGCAATATCTCGTCACCAGCTTTGGCTAGGTCTAAAAACCAGTCGGCTTATTTCATTTCTTGATGTAGATACATCCGATAGGAGGAGGGTATAAATCGTAAATTAACATTTCGCTTAATGATCACAATGGCTTCGCTAATATTGTTTTGGGCCGAATGGATGGGTGTGCACAACACATATCGCGGATGTATCTGTGGGTTTCTTTTTGTAAGACTAGGGTGTTAGAAATAAGGATACATTGAGTAAGTGGGTATATTCTTATGTATTTCTATTAGTATCTGATTTGTGCCTTACTTAGAGAAGATACCGTACTACAGCCACGCATTAAGTATAGCACGCACCTCTTGTCCTGCTCCAGGACACGATCTCGAACTCCGTTAAATACAGTCGCATTTTCATCCTACGGTTATGCTAATTGGTAACAATAATTCTTTGTATAGTCGGAACAATATGGGACACACGGGCAGCGCCTCTTACTCGCCCCCTACTCCATCACATCACTTCGGCTTAGGTACACGCTGAGGAGTTGTCTCAGCCGCTCCCTCCTTGGTCTCCACAGTCTGTCAGAGCAGCTTCTTGGCCGTGATCGTCGTGGACAGGGTCGACGCCGTGGCTGTCGCCTTCTTGGAGGTCGGGGGTTGCGGTGGAGTTTGTATCGTGGGCGGCAGTCCTATGTCTGTGGAGGGCAGGATTTTTTCTATTTGCCGCTCGGCCGCCTCTCGTAGGGTCGATTCCGTCGTTGCTGCAGCGCTGATCCCACCACCGCCAGCCCCACCACCGGACTTTCCGGTCGGTCCGGATCCTGTCGAACCTTTGGTCGGCGATTTGGGTTCCACTTTGGTGTCCTTCGGAGACGTCTCGTCCAGGCTCTTCGCGTTATCCTTTAATGTTTTGGCCGTATCCTTAAACGCCGGCTGAGTAGGATAATTGCATAAATTGATAAATATTTTTATAAGGTCATTGAACAAGTTAAAACTAAGTTATTTATATAAAATCTTACCTCGGCTTTCAATTCCTTAGCTTTATCGGGCGTTTCCTCCTCCTTATCTCGCAGTTCGTTGGCAATATCCTGAATTTCCTTAGCAGAGTCGTGTATATCATTCACAAGCTTGGCCAAGTCCTTATCCGCTTTGTCCACTTCTGACTTCAGTTTTTCAGCCTCTTTCATACTCTTGGCAATTGCCTTCTCAATCTTCTGCTCTGCCTGCAGGACTTGCTCCTTGTCAAGGAGGCTAATCAGTTCCTCAATGGCCTTCTCACTCAGCTTGATGTTGTCTCGACCAATGGACTCCATCACCTGTCAAGAATTCTTTCTTAGTTAAATCTACTTTTGGACTTCTGCGTGGCGTTCTTACCTTTCGAATGTCATTCACAGTCACCACACCATCTTTGTCGGCATCAAACTTTCCCAAAACAGCTTCAATGTGCTTGAGACGTGCCTCATCGCTGGTTTCCTTCAGCACCTTGATGTTGCTCATTAGATCGTCGATGCGCACAATCTCCTCTTTGCGTTGCCGTGTCGCCAGCTTGGACAGCAGCTCCGTGAACTCCTCCAGCTGCTTCTTGTCGATCTTGGTGGCCTCGCTGTCAATACTCTGAACCGCCTTGGTGATCTCGTGCACCGAAATCACACCATCTTTGTCCGCATCGAGTTTGACCAGCAGATCCCCCACAACCTTTAACCGCTCCTCATCGGAAGCCTCCTTCATTCGTCGAATGGTGGAGACAAGCTCATCAATATGGACCATTTGCTGCGGCTCGGCGTTGGGACTTGAAGCCACATAATCACTGGAATCCGCTTGCTTGATCTGATGCTGCCTAGCCTCTAGGTCGTTGAGCACGTTATCCAATTGGGAGATCATCTTGTTGACCCGGTTGTAGAGCAACTTGGCCGCCCGACTCTCGCGAACAGGCTCCTTGACCACCTGGCGCACCTCGCGCAACTCCTCCACGTCTTCTTTGTAATCGGCAAGCTCCTCCTTGAGCTCCTTGATTGTTTCCTTCTCCACCACGAGCTGCTTATCAGATGACAAGGTCTTCAGAGCGTCGGACAAAAGTTGCACATCCGTAGAGGATATGCCCTTGTCGGTCTCTGAAACTGAAACCTCTTCCTTGCGGTCCTTAGCAGCCAGCTTCTCAGCAAACACATAAGGAGAGGGAATCTCCTCTTTGATTGCCGATCGCTTAGCGATAGTTTCTTCTTGCTCTTCCTCGCGCTCTTCGCGAATCTTCCGCTCCTCTTCCTTGATGATCTCGATCTTGGTCTTGTTGTCGACCTTACCTTCGCTCTCGCCTATAGCGTGACGTGTGTGTGCACCCACTGCATCCGGCAGCACACGCATGGTTTCCTTGAGTTTATCGGTGGTGATGCTATCGTCGGAAATGAGCATTGTCCTCGATAGGAGCAGCAACGTTGGCGGCACCTGCTCATTCAGCGATAAATCGATCCACTCCTTCAGCTGGAACCGAAGACGCTCCTCCGTCAGTCCATAGGCTCGCATTCCACGTGCCTTACACGCCTGTTGCAGCTCTAAGAGATCCAGGGAGTCCACGCCTTCGCGAGCAATTACTCGGTCATCAGTGGCCAAAGATCTCAGCTTCAAGCGTAGCTGAAAACGCAGCAGCGTGGTGGTGCCGATCGTGTTTAGTTCTAGTACACGACACAGGGCCGCTAATTGCTCCCGGGAGAGGGAGTCCAGGGTGATTTCGTCGTCGAATCGCTTGGCGAACTTGATGATATCATCGTTACTCACAGGCTCAGTAGGATTGCGGATTCTGGTAAAGAATTCCTCAAACTGCTTGGCCTCCTCGCTGCTGTGCTCCTTGTGTTGGACAGGCATCTGGTCAAGGGTCTGCTGCAAGAACTTGGCCACCTCGAGACGCACACTCAACGATTGGCGCAGCTTCTCCTGCCGGTCGGTTGAGGTCTGAAACGTGGATGGCAGCATGCCGGGGAAGAATTTTATAAACAACGGCAGCAGCAGCTCCATGAAGGGCACAATGATGAACACCGAAAAGGGAATCAGGCGGAACAAATCCGAGGTGGTCCGCTGCAGCTGCTTGTTCTCTCTGCGCGTTAGTGTCTTCCCGTTGAGCACCCGCCAAAGGAGTTTCGAGCAGATTGCCACGTCGATAAAGAGCAGGCGAAAGCCATGGTAATAGTGAACCAGCTCGTCCCAAATGCGAGTGCGAAGTGGTTTCTTGGGCTTGGCTACTGTCTTGTCTCCAGTTTGTGCAAGAGAAGTCGACGAGCCAGTCGTCGATGTAGAACCGGCCGTCGCACTTGCGTTGGTACCCTTCTCTGAAGAGGCAGTGGCCGTAGCTACATTGCTACCACCTACTGCCGTCGCCTGACCATTGGCCACCTCCTTCATTATCTCCTCGACCTTCTCCTTCTGCTGGTTCTTCAGCTTTTTGACGGTCGCGTCGATCTTTGAGCTGGAAGTCTCCAACATCGTCCGGCTAGTGTACAGATGCCTAAATCCATGTCCAGAGTAGTGGTATCCGTAGCTGGCGTGTGGCTGAAACCTTCGGTGGGCGCCGAGCGATCTGCTGATCTCCAGCACCGATGTTGACGAAGATCTACTAAGCCGCTCATTTATTGTAGTGCGCTCATCTGTGAAGTTAGTCGAGCTACAGGCGCAGCAACTAGATTTGAGATCTGCAAAAGGAAAAACTATGCTTAGTAGGGATATAGCCTTTTCAAATCCATTTTAAAAAGATTTCTAGGACGGATGAAATAAAAAAGTCAATGAACCTAATCTATAGCAACACTCAGATGACGGAAGGCTTTTCCGAAACACCTTTCCTTTCTTTCTATGAAAATGAAATCAGTTCAACAATCTTGAACAGCCGGCGAAAAAGGCAAACAAAGAATGAAAAGAAAAGCACACAATAAATTATTAATCACAACGAACAAAAAGTAGAAAAGTTTGCGGGTGATAAGCGCTATACCCCTTGATTACGGATTTTTGTTGGGATTTGAAGTTGATAATAGCAAAGGCAAAGACAGACAAACGCAGACGACAGGGGGACCAAATTAGCACCTGGAGTGGAGCTTACATAAACCACAAGGCGAGCCGAAACCCACACAAACCTTGCGAATTCCCTTTCTCTATAAATAAACGATGTAGCAAACATTCAGAAATGTGCGCTGAGTGCAATTGTTTACAGCGCACTTTTCCTTTTATTTTCTCGTTTGATTTTCCGATTCTTGGCAATTGCTCAAGGTGAATGATTGTGCTTGCGGTTGAGCGAAAAAAGAGGAAACAAGAAAAAGGAATTGCGGTGGAGAAAGTGAGACGATTCTGACCTCTTTTCGAATCCCTCTACTGATCTTAGACTAGACCTGCTTTTAGGTCTATACAATAGTTTCTGACTGTACTTCTCCACAGGTGCCTCTTGGTCTGGGGTTTTCTGGTACCTGTCTTTGGCACCTGTTCGTTGTTAGGGTGCTAAATCTGTAGCGGAAATTCTGCCAAAGTGTGATTGACATGGACAGGGGAAAATGTTATTTTCCACTACAAGAATTAGTTCGAAATCGGCTAAATCGCTGATATTCGAAATGTATGTAAGTCCAAACCCTCGTCATATGAGGGAAGTAGAAGTTATAGCTAAAATAGATTAACAAATAATAAGCCATACAAATAGGCAGGGAGATTAGATTGTCAATTGTCGCGATCCAAAGTCAACAACGGGAATAACAATATGAGTAATTAAATTAGCAGCAAAAATCCCTAAGCAGTGTCGGACCTTCAAAGGGGTTTTCAGACCGCAACCTGGTTAGGATGTTTTCATTTGTTATTTTGGGCCACATCCCCCTAAAATATATTTTTGCAACACCACTGCTTCTATTCCACTGTACTATTTTCCAGGAAAAATTCCAGCGCACGTAGTAGTTTCCAGCCCCTCAGCTGTTGCGTTCCAGCGAAAGTGCAGGCAAAACAAAACACTGGATAAGTGGCGCACACACACACACGCAAAAGGGCAAAATCAATGGAAAGTTTTGGGGGATTTGCGACTTGCTTTTTTGTTCTGTTTTGTTTTGGCCAACTTACAGCGCTTGTAGACATTCTGGGCCAGGTGACTCGTTCGCAGATTGCGTCCCTTGTGACGTAGCAGGGCGTTCATGGCGTCGGCGAGGGGCGGTGGGGAGCGGGGCTCGGCTCGGCTGCCAATCCGGTTCCAAAGAATTTTCAATTGTAATTTTGAATTTCCGACAAACTGTCTGTGGATTGTGTATCTTTGGTTTCTCTGTCGCTCGGTTTCCTTTTGCCGTATTTCCTCTTTTGTTTTTGTTCTCTCTCGTTTATCTATCTCCCTCGTTCGTTGACGCAAAGTAGCGGTTTCTTTCCACGATTCTAATAAAAAAAAATAAATAAATAAAAGGTGGGAATTTCTGCTGTTAGCCTACTGTTGATTTAGTTAGAAGTCAATAAATTGAATTGTGATTAAATCACAAATTGTCTGCTGTCTAAAACGAACAAGTTAGACAGCACACACACGCACTCCACTACGTCATCGACGCAATATCGCGCGATCTTGCTTTGTTTTTGTTTTTGCCTCGCACTCTCTCAAATCAAATTACACAACTACAGCAACAAATTTCGAATTATTTTCGCATTTCGTGCAACTGACAACCGGTTAAGTCACGCCCAGTATTAAGCTGTTAATCACGGCGTGCTGCCAATACCGTCTATTTGTGATCCATTTGTAATAATAAATAAATATAATAAAATAAACTGGACAAAACCGTCTGTTTTCTCACTTTTTGCTGTAAGTGTGACCGTGACACGACTGCCACAAAAGCCTTTAAGGTTAAGAGTGTTCTCTTTACAACTTATAAAAATTTTGGTATTTTTCTAGCAGAGTTGCAAGCCTTCTCTATCTCAGTTGCGTCGGCAGAGCGTCGTTTCTAACAAGGAAAGGTCTCTGGTGTTATCATAGCACATTTGTTTTCAGTGCGACCGTGCCAAAAATGCAATAACTTAATATCCTTTGTATTAGGGGTATTCCTTATTTGATTCGTAATCTGAATCCCAGCAAAAGGTACCTACGGATTTAATTTCCTAAAATAATTATTAAATCATTTTTCGCAATGTTATTAGCTATAAAAACATATCACATTTTTTCTCAACTATTTACCATCCACTCCTAATTTTCCTAATCAAAACAAACCATACTTGCACTTTATATAGAAGAAATAGTCCAATTAAAAGCTATGACTTCTGATTTGTCATTGTGGTTCTGGTTGTTGGACAGCTTATTCATAATTACCCTTACCCTAGGATTATGTTCTGAACAAGTTGCAGTTTGTTTCTCCCAGTCCTTCAGAGAACACTATTTGAAAATGAGGCTTACTTTTTACTTGGTAGTTACTTTCGGATTTATGAGCACACAGAGTGTTTCTATAAGATACATCTTGAGCTCCCTTAAAGATGAACTTCATTATGAAACAATTCTCCTAGTACAAGGCTCGGCTCAAAGTGATTTGTGTTGGGAACAAAAAAACATTCAAACAGATGTGCCCACTTTGAACTTCAACGCCAATCAAAGTTTGTATCTGAAAGATACATTCAATACAAACATTCTGGCACTAGTCTGCGTAGACAAAAATGATAAAAGTACCATGCTGGCTCTGTATCAAAATCTGGAAGATATTCGCGATACCCCCACCATACTTTTCGTCCTTTCGGATTACGAAATCCGAGACCTGCTCCTGGAGTGCTCAAGACGAAGTATGCTTAATGTGGTGGCCTTTAAAGGGTCGGACATGGAGTCTATCTACAGCTTTCAGGCATTCCCCAGATTTCAGTTAGTTAAAAGAAAGGTTAGAAAAGTGTTCAGATACTTTGAACCACAACTGAAGGATCTGGGCGGCTACACCCTCAGGGCACTACCCGACAACATAATACCGCGAACTGTGGTCTACAGGAATCCCAATGGAAACCGCCAGTTGGCTGGGTATCTATATCCCTTCATAAGGAATTATGTGAGCACCATCAATGCAACTCTCAAAATCTGCTGGGAACTTGCCCCGGAGGATGGCATGATCCAGTTGTCGGAAGTTATCAGGCTGTCGGAGATCAATTTCGTCGACTTCCCTCTGGGCATTCACGGGATTGAGCATGGATCGACGAAGCAGAACGTCATGATGGAGACCTCCAGCTGGTTTTTGATGCTACCCATGGAGCCCTGCCTTCCCCGTGCCCAATTCTTCATTAAACTGAGTTTGGAAAGGTTAATACCACTGATGTTACTACTTGCTATAGTGCTAAGTAATGCCCATCGCTTAGAGGTGGGCTTAAGACCCAGCTGGCGTTGCTCCTCCTTGGTAGATGAAGTTCTGCGAGGAACTCTGGCACTGCCATTCCTCCTACCCAGAAAACTCTCTCTCAAATTGATGTTCCTCTATTGGTTGGTCCTGCTTGATGGGTTCTTTGTCAGCAACTACTTTACGGCCAATCTCGAGACCTGGCTCGTCCATCCACCGGCGGGTCATCTAATCCTTAGCTGGGAACAAATGCGCAGCTTGAATTTAAAGATCTTAATAGTCCCCTCCGAATTGAATTCCATGAGAGCAGCCTTGAGCAAGGAGTTTACAGATAGCCATAGCGATATCTTCAAACTATCCAGCTCAGAAGATTTCCAAGAAAAGCGATTATCTATGGACCAATCCTATGCTTATCCCGTAACCTGGACCTTGTGGCCACTCCTACAACAGGCACAAGCCAGACTTCTGAAACCAGTATTCCGTCGGTCCCGAGAAATAGTGTTCATACCTCTCTTAATCATGGCAATGCCCTTGCCAAAGAACTCTGTATTCCACAAGTCCCTAAATCGATACAGAGCACTCACTAAACAGAGTGGATTGTACGAGTTTTGGTTCAGGCGAAGCTTCAACGATTTAATCGCCCTCCGGAAAATCAACTACAAAGTGGATGCAGACCATCAGGCTTACCGTGACTTCGAGTGGAAGGATTTCAGATTTGTTTGGGTAGTCTTCATGGGAGGAACTGTCATAAGTTCCTTTGTGTTCCTCGGCGAGATGGGATACCACAGGTGGCACTTACAGAATTCTTAAGAGACAACTTTGTTTTCATAATAAGCGACATTGTTAACTCCAAAAGTATGACTCCATTATTAAAATGTTTTTCGTTTTATACTTACTGCCAAGCTCCTCAATTAGATAAAAGCATTCATAAATGCAGGTTTGACTACCCACTTTCCTGTTATTAAAACCAGTGGCCATTCATTTTTAATGCTTCCCAGGTTGCTGGAAGTGTAACTGATAGATATCTTATTCTATTGTAACAGCCCCAGCCCTAGGGGCATTTTATTTTACCAACAGCTTCTGAACAGAACAGCCAACAGCTTTCAATATAGAAATGCGGTTTGCCTTACTTTTCGCATTTACCAGCTTGGCAGAAGCTAGCAATGCTTCCTTGAATAAGATCCTAAAGTCCCTAAGGGATGAGCTTCATTACGAGACGATTCTGCTTTTTGTAAGTAATCCCCAAAATAATACCTGTTGGGAGCAAAGCAACTTTCAAGAAGAGGTTCCCATTTTGAGCTTCAGCGAATATCAAAACGTGTATCTAAAAGATAGTTTCAATTCCAAGATACTAGTACTCGCTTGCCTGGACAGAAATGAAAAGGATACGCTTAAATCACTGTATAGCAATCTCCAAGATTTGCGAGATACTCCCACCATAATTTTCGCATCTTTTGAAGAACAAATAAGTGATTTATTTCTGCGCTGCTTCCGTGCACATATGCTCAATGTATTGGCCTTTAAGTGCTCAAATAGAGAGATCATCTACAGCTTTCAGGCATTTCCTAAATTTCGGCTTATAAAACGAAGAGTAATGGACATCATTCAGTACTTCAAACCACAACTCTCGGATCTGGGGGGCCACAGTGTGACGACACTGCCTGATAACGTAATGCCCCGAACTGTGACCTACAGAAATGCAGATGGAGAACGCCAGTTGGGTGGATATCTCAGCCACTTCATCCGGAACTATGTGAGCACCATAAACGCTACTCTCAAAATTTGCTGGGACCTTGTTCCGGAGGAGGAAGTCATCACAGAATCAGCGAACATAAGTGTTGACATTCCTTTGGACATTGGCGGTCTTGACCTAACAACATTGAAACAGGACGTCATTATGGAAATCTCCAGCTGGTTCCTGATGCTGCCAATGGAACCCTCCCTTCCTCGAGCTAGATTCTTCCTTAAGTTCGGCTTGTACAGGCTAATACCCCTGATGTTGGTGGTAGCAATAGTGCTAAATAATGCCCATCGGATAGACGAGGGGTTGAGCCCGAGCTGGCGTTGCAACTTAGTGGGAAGCAAAGTCGTGCGGGGACTCCTGGCACAGCCATTTACCCTGCCCCGAAGACTATCCCCGAAACTCATGTTTGTCTATTGGTTGCTCCTGCTGAGTGGTTTCTTCGTGAGCAACTACTTTATTGGCTTCCTCGCGACTTGGCTCGTGCATCCGCCAGCTCTTGATCCAGTAAAGGACTATGATCAAATGCGCCGCCTGAAGCTAAAAATCCTAACCACCCCAGCGGAACTGGACTACTTGAAGACCAAAATGGGCGAAAAATTTATAAAAGAGCGAATAGATGTATTTCAGATCACCACTTCGACGGATTTCCAGACGAAGCGCATCTCGATGGATCAATCTTATGCCTATCCAGTAACATACACCTTGTGGCCCCTTTTGAAGCATTCACAAGTCAGACTCCGTCGACCCATATTCCGACGATCCAAAGATATAGTCATGCTGCCGTTCATCATTATGGCTATGCCCCTGCCGAGGAACTCAATATTTCACAAGTCTCTCCATCGATATAGGCTACGAACTTTCGAGAGCGGACTATATACGTTTTGGTTCAGAGAGAGCTTCTACGAACTGCTAAGCCTGCGAAGGATCACCTACAAGACAGAGGTGCATCATGAGGCGTATTCTGATCTCAAGTGGCAGGACTTTAGTTTTGTTTGGCTGGGCTTCGCAGTAGGCACTATCACAAGTTTCCTGGTGTTCCTTATCGAGATTGGATACCACAGGTGGCAAGCGAAGTCCTTGTGTATAGGAACGAACTAGTTTTGTTATCTTTTTACTGGTTTTCAGATAAATGCTAACTATTAAAAACCAATTACTGAAAAGTTAAATCAGAAATGACGTTTATCTTTGCATTGTGAGCTTGTTCATCATTAAAAACTGTGACTTTAATAGTTTTTGTCAAGTTTCTAGAGTGATAGAAGTCAGATCTTATCGTACTAGCCACAGCCAGGTTGCAGTTGCCAGGTCCTGCCAGGTTGCAGTTCAGCTTAGCACACCGTTTTAAACAGGCGCCTTCAAAATGCGGCTAGCCCTGTATTTTATATTTATCACTTCAGTTGAAACAAACAGTGTCTCCTTGAATAACATATTAAAGTTGCTGGAGAAGGAGCTGAACCATAGGACAGTTCTTCTTTTAGGAAGTTTAAGTCCCAGGAATTCGTGCTGGACCCATGAAGCCTTCCGAGAGGAGGTCCCCGTGCTTAACTTCGATTCAAATCAAAATGTCTATCTGAAAGGTGCATTTAATTCAAAGATACTAGTATTAGCTTGCCTAAAGGAGAACGAAAAAGGTACAATGAAGGCCCTCTATGGCAATCTCCAGGATATGCGAGACACTCCAACCATACTATTTGCATCTTCGTATAACCACATTCGTGTTCTGTTCTTGAATTGTATCCGTGAAAAAATGCTCAATGTGTTGGCACTCAAAGACTCAGAAAGGGAGTTTATCTACAGCTTTCAGGCGTTTCCAAAATTTCGCCTTAAAAAACGAAAAGTAATAGCCGTCCTTCGATTCTTTGAATCACAACTCGCGGATCTGGGGGGCTATGCGGTTAAGACACTACCCGATAACTTGATGCCCCGCACAGTAATCTACCGAAATGCAGATGGAAACCGGAAAATGGGCGGATATCTCAGCCACTTCATCCGGAACTATGTGAAGACGATTAATGCATCTCTCCATGTTTGCTGGCACCTCGTTCCAGAGGAGGGCATGAGGCATATCGGTGAAGTCGTCAGTCTCTCAGAGATGGAGCACATTGATATTCCGCTTGGCATTGATAGCCTTCATAATGAGTCAAGCACACAGATTGTTCCTATGGAGGTCTCTAGCTGGTTCATTATTCTACCCATGGAGCCTCCCCTCCCTCGAGCTCGTTTCTTCGGTGAGTTCAGAGTGCACTGGCTAATGCCCGTTATTGTGCTAGTAACTCTAGTACTGACCAATGTCCATCGGATGGAAGTGGGGTTGAGTCCCAGCTGGCGTTGCTACGACCTGGCAGATAAGGTCCTCCGAGGAACTCTTGCTCAACCATTTATCCTACCCAGAAGACTCTCCGTCAAGTTGATGTTCCTATATTGGTTGGTTCTGATCAACGGCTTCTTTCTGAGCAACTATTATATGGCCCACTTGGCGACTTGGCTGTTTCACCCACCCACTGTTGATAAAATCCTGGACTGGGATCAAATGCGCAGCATGAAGCTGAAAATCCTTATTATCCCAGCTGAGCTAAAATACTTGACATATTCAATGGGCAAGGGTTTCGTCGATTCCCATAGCGACCTCATTCACCTTACCAACTCGACGGACTTTCAAAGAAGGCGCATCTCGATGGATCAAGCCTACGCCTATCCGGTTACCCAATCACTTTGGCCATTTTTGGACCACTCTCAAGTAAGACTACGGCGGCCCTTGTTCCGCCGATCGGAAGAGATGGTTATTCAGCCCTTCATCATTTTGGCCATGCCGCTGCCAAGGAACTCCGTATTCTACAAGTCTCTTCTGCGATATACGGCTCTGACGCGGGATAGCGGATTGTATTGGTTTTGGCTCAAGCGGAGCTTCACTGAACTAGTGATCCTCCGTAAAATCTCATACAAGGAAGAGAGATCTAATGGGTATTGTGACCTCGATTGGTGGGACTTTCAGTTCGTTTGGCTGGGCTTTGTGGGAGGAACTATCTTAAGTTTCTTGGTGTTCGTCTTGGAGCTAGGATACCACAGGTGGTAATTGAAGGAAACCTCTCTCTAAATGGATTAGCATATATCCCAAACCATATAACCACATTATTATCCACAAATATACGATAATCATATAGTCAATTTCCTGTGTTTGTTCTTACGGACTTAATCCTGCTGGTCATGAAAATATATTGATTAATTAAAAATAGTTCTTAGGGCTATAAATGCGGCCTATCCGAATACCTAAAAGGCGTGAAGGTTAATTCGTTTTGGGGCATTTCCAGAACAGTCATACGAGAGTAAGCCACAAAAATGAGGTTCGATATGAGTTGTTATATTCTGCTCCCGTTGGGCTTTGCTTATGCTCAAAAAGTCTTATTAGCCAGCATTCTAGAATCCCTAAGGCTAGAGCTGTCTTTCCGGTCTGTACTCTTACTGAGCAGCAGCGGAAACACAGATGCCTGTTGGCATCAGAGCGACCTTGGTCACTATGCCCACCTCAACTTCAACGCCAATCAAAGCATCCACCTCAAAGGAAGGGTCAATACAAAAATACTGTCACTTGCTTGTATGGACTCGGCAGAGGAGGTTATAATGGAAGCCCTGTGTGAGAACCTCATGGATATGCGGGGAACTCCGATACTTCTCCTGGTCAAATCGGAAACAAATATCAGCAGATTATTTGAAACTTGCCGTTCGCACCATATGCTCAATGTTCTGGCTTTGATCGGGTCGAATCTGGAGTTTATATACAGCTACCGTGCATTCCCCAACATTAAATTGGTCCGGAGGAGAATAACCCAAGTTAGTAGGTTCTTCGAAGACCAACTCAAGGATCTTCAAGGTTATCCCATCGCCACGATTCCTTACAACCTGCTGCCGCGATCTGTGATATACAGGGACAAGGACGGACGTCGCCAGATGACCGGTTACCTCACCCACTTCTACAGGAACTTTGCACGGACCTTGAACACCTCTCTACGGGTCTGTTGGGATCTGGTTCCGGAGGACGAGACTCCTAGTCATAATGTCACTGCCATGCAGCTTCGGGATGGTCTGGTAGATTTTCCACTGGTGCTCACTACACTCGCTCCGGAACCTTTCTACCCCAGCCATGTGGGGGAGATAACCAGTTGGTTCTTGATGCTGCCCGTGGAACCAGATATGCCAACCTCCAGTCTTTATTTCAACCTTAAAGGCTGGCGCTACTTCTTGGGCCTGATGATTATTTTGGCCTTACTGCTGGCCAATGCCCATCGCTTGGAATCCGGTGAGGGATTCTTGACCCTGCGATGCGGGGATATCTTTGGAGATCATGTACTGAGAGCCATTCTAGCTCAGTCCTTCGTCATGCCGAACAGACTCTCTTTCAGCAGAACTCTTTTATACAGCCTGCTGATGATGGCAGGGCTGATAGTTAGCACCTTTTACAGTGCTAATCTTGCAACGCTACTCGTTCATCCGCCAGCTGCGTATAAAATTCTGAGTTATGCCGACCTCAGGAAAACCCACGGGAAGATCCTAATCTCGCAGCAGGAACTGCCCACACTGAATGATTCTATTGGAAAGGAAGTTTTGGAGAGAAACTTAGACACCTTTGAGATAACCCCTTCCGTGGTTGAGTTTTTGACCAAACGAAATGAGCTCAATAATTCCTTTGGCTATCCGGTGACCAACACCTTGTGGCCCTTTCTCAAGCTGAAACAGATTAAAATGCAGCGACCCGTCTTTCGGAAGTCCAATGAAATAAGTTTTAAGCAATTTATACCTGTCACGATGCCAATGGCCAGGAACTCTGTATATCGCGACGTGTTTAACAGATATCTCAGCCGGACATTGGCCAGTGGGTTATACGACCTGTGGTTCCGAAGATCCTATCACGAACTGATAGCCGTGGGAAAGCTGAACTACAGTGTGGATCATGTAGAGCCGCCCTACCACGATCTCGTTTGGGGGGACCTGTACTACGTGTGGGTGGCCTATATTGGAGGAACTGCAGTCAGTCTGCTGGCACTGCCCATTGAGATAGTCTACTTCAAGTGGCATCAAAAGGTCTTCTATTGGAAAACGACCTAGAACTGTATTAAAGAAAATGAAACGATATGAATTGCAATATAACGCCCCCTCTTATCTTTATATGGAAAATGTAAATTAAATACACAGCGAGTCGCAATTTCAAACACTTTTTGCAAAAGCATTTTTATTCAAGTTTCACATGTCTCTGCTCACTGCATCTTGATTTTCATCATTAAATGTTTTTCCATTTTCTTGTTCATTTTCGCTTGTTTTAGGTTTGTTAATAAGTAGGTATTTGTAATATGTTATAATTAGGATTTCGTTTCAATGGAATTACATATATAATGCATTATTATACGCCATCTGTGTCTCAGTATTATCTGTGCTTCAGTGTGGGTTGCTAGTCATTAAAATGGGACTTTCGAGGGGGCACACACACCCCAGTCCAAGCAAAATTTAAATAAAACTAGGTTCTCGTGAGTAGAATCAAATGCAGGTGTCGTAATGTCTCATTTAGCATTAGCCTTTAGCAAATGTGCAAAATCGAGTAAATTTGTGTGGTGAGGGTTGAGTTTGAGTGTTCGAAATGGGAATCGTGTGTTATCAATTGTTTATCAATTAATTTTGTAAGACTGAACTAACATTTCTTGTACTCTCTAAAAATTTAGCACTATAAAAGGGTCCTCCTTTGGGTTTCTCTTTTGTTTGTCGTTTATTTTGTTTTAGGTAAATTCTGCAAAAGCAATTACCAAAAAATTAAGTTTCAATTACAATTATAATATGTAATAATAATAATAAGAAGTATGTCGCATTTGCTTGGCAAAGGAAAATAAATTTCATCATCTTTTTGTTTTGTACATTCGTGTAAATATTATTCAATTGCATAATTTTTGTTTGCTTTTGTTTGTCTTGTAAATTCATATTGCATATGTTCTGTGTGTGTGAGTTAGAGTGTGGAGGCCTAATCCTACTTTTGTCCTGAAAACTAGAATCGTAATATCGCCCGTCCCCCAGGTCAAAAGCCCTGGATCCCAGGGGGCGGGCAACTTAAGCTCAAAATGAAGTGTAATGGAAAATAAATATTGTCAAATGAGGGTTACATTAATTATGCCATCCTAAATATTGCCATCGTTTATAACTATTTTTATGTAATTTCATTATTTGTTCTCTTGTGGTACTGTTTTAACTATACATTGTGTGTATGTCTAGACGCAAAACTTGAATCTTACAAATTTTGGGTGAGTTTAGTTAGCATTGTTGTTGTTTTCTTAATATTTCTTGTTTTTGTTTTTGTTTTTGTTTTTCTCTTTACTTTCGATTTCGATTTCTGTTTTTGGAAACATTTTAAAAATTAAGCTCAATAATCTTAAATTATGTATGTATTTGCTTTCGTTTCGGTTTAATTTGCCATGGGCCGAACATGTGTTTCCGTTTTTGTGTTTTGGGTTTTCTTTCGTGCCTTGTATCCATAATAATATTCTAAAAGATTTTAAACATTGCATTGTGTACACTCCTCGGATTGGTTATGTTCAATAAGAATTTCCTTTGTTTTTTGGGTACGTTACGGCTGTCTTTCCTGTCCTATTTTGTGGTTTCATTTTCATTTTCATTTTCGATTTTCTTTTTCGTTTTTCTACTTGAAACAATGTACAATTAATTACAAAAATGTCTTGTAATTGCTAAAATTTTAATACTCATGTACTGTCTGCAGCAGTGGCGCTAGGCCCTCCTCCTGCTAATTCATTTTCTGTTCAGCTCCGATCTAGTCCTTCCTCCGCATCTGCGTCTACTATATAAATTACGTGTAGGGTTCGCTTTCGCAATGGTTGCACTTGATTTCCTCGTCAAAAGTATTAGTATTAGCATAGAGTGTGTGAGTATTATAAACGCTTTTTAACTACAGCGTGTGGCTTTACGTTAAATATATATGTTTATGTATATACGTAGAGTGAGTGCTTCAATTGTTAATAGGGGGTTACATCAATAGTATTTTTTTCCATTTTTGTTTTTGTTTTTTGATTTTTTTTTTTTAAGTTTTTTTTTCTAGTTTTGTTTTGTGGTTTGTAATATATAATAATAGGTATTTGTAAATATTCATATGTCGCCCAGGACTCGGCTGGGCGTAGCTCTAGTTGCGATCGCACGATCTAGACTTAATGCCAAGGGGCCAGTGTGAATTGGTTGGCCTGGTGTGGGTAAATACATTTCGAAATACGTGTACGCAATGTGTTCTTTAGGCGAAAAGCTGACAGCGAAGCCTCTGCTCACTAAATTCAACAGTAAAGACAAACATCTAATTCCAAAAAAACGCTAGTGAGTGCTAAGAAACTTTTGTCCTAATGCCTAGAAAATCCTTTCGTTTGAGAGTTCGTATTCTGTTTATGTTTCTGTTTCCGTTTCCGTTTCCGTTCCTGTGTGTGTGTTTCTATAAATTTCAACTGTGTTGCAACACTTTTGCCTACATCTAAATGTATATGCGCAGGACTTGCATCCTGCACGTCTGCTGCCTGAATGTTCGCCTAGCTGCTTGATACAATTTCTCGTAAATATCTATATAGGTTTATATATGGGTGTATATTGTATGTGTGTGGGTTCTGAGTAAACTCCTAGCGATGTCCCCGGATCAGCCGCCACCGTCGCCGTCTTAATAGTAGAATATTTGACCGGCCTTTTGGCGCTTGCGCTCCTCCAGCTTGCGATTGATCTCCTGCTGCCGCTCGGCCTTGCTTAGGGCTCTTGCCACGTACAAGAACTTGTTGTCCCCCAGCTGCTTGCCATGCAGCCCAATCACGGCGGCCAGCGCCGACTGTGGGTTCTCGAAAGCCACGAAACCGAATCGCCGGGAGCGGCCCTCCTCGTCCAACATGAGCTGCAAAGATCACAGAAAGCAAATCGATGATATAAACAAATCCGCACAGATGGGCCCAACGGAATCTCCTCCCCCGCTTCCACAGCTCCGTGAGCATGCGCAGCAATGGGACAAGAGAGGATTTAAGAGCGTGAGAAACTATGCCACATGGTTGTCGGCCAACCACCCGGCCCAGCTCACACCCCCGCTGGTAATGTGAGGTGACCAAGCAACGTACCTTGTGACTGGTGATGCGGCCGTAGGGCTCGAACATCTCGCGCAAGTGCTGCTCGGTGAACTCCTCGCTGAGGTTCTTCACGTACAGATTCTTGAAGTGCGTGGCCTTCTCCTGCTCCCGGTCCCGCCGTGGTATGAACTTAACCACATGCACCTTCTGATTATTGCACAGCATCCCATTCACTTTCTCGATGGCCGCCCGAGCGGCGTCCTCCGAGTCAAAATGCACAAACCCATAGCCCCGCGAATTTCCATCCTCGTCCTTGGCCACGTTGCAGTTAAGAATGTTTCCAAACACCGAGAACGTGTCGTACACTGCCTTGTTGTCGATGGACCGTTCTAGGTTCTTGATATATATCTTGCCGCTGTCTGGAGAGCTATTGCCGCCACTACCGCCGGTGGAGCCGCTGGCCAGGGCTCCTCCACCAACACCCACGCCGACATTGGCGGAGTGTGACGAGCTGGACGTGTGTCCGCTGCCCAGGGAGTTATGGCCATGCCGGCCCAAGACGGCAGCAGCTGCCAGGTGGTTACTGGCTGCGTGGCCACCGCCAACGTGGCTCAGGTGACCGGCGGCAGCGGCGTGGTGGTGCAACTGCTGCTGGTGGTGCGCCGCGGCCAGCGTGTGGTGGTTCAGGGCCGGCTGCTGCTGATGGTAGTTCGCCGGATTGCCGCGGAACGTCATCGAATTGACGAACATGATGGCTGGTGGCTGTTTGTGGAGCGTGGTGACGGCTAGTGGAGTGCTGTAGCGGTAGGTAGCGGTGGCTTCTGCGTCCTGGTGGCCGTGGCTTTGGCTCTGGATCTGGATACCGCTGTAGATGGGCCTGAGAATCTTGACGGCGTTCTGATCCCGGTCCTGGTTCTTTCCCGCTACCAGTATAACCTTTGGTGTCCGAATTCTGGGTTATTTACCCACTTACACTTAATATGACCAAAAAAATCGCGGTGTTCTCTGAAAAAATCGTTTTTCTCTCGCCCAGACTCTTTTCACCGTTCTCTCGCTCTGGCACTCTCTCACTTTTGCTCTTCTCTTTTCTCTCTTTTGTACTTTTTCTGGGCTTTCACTTTTGGGCCGTAGCTGCTTTTTTTTGGGCTTTTCTTTCGTTTTCGCGAAGCACTTTCTGTCTTTTTCTTAGTGGCACCTAAACTAGAATCTTCAGCAATTGCAGCAGTATAAAACCAGGTTTTGCAGCTTCGGCGGTCGCCCTTTATTATTTAATTGTATTATATGCAAAAAACTGTCGCTGCTTAGGTGTTACCAGATGGCGAAACTGCTTTCCCCATCGATATCAGGAAATGAAAATTGTCCTATGCCTATCGATAGTTTTTTAGATGTGTAGTTGCTAGTTATGTGCAATTCGATAATAAACATGATATACTGTATGCAAAAAATTCATTAACTTTTTAAGTTATGACTCTCTGAGTTTTGTTTTATGTATCACAAAGTAATTTTTAATATTTGTTTACGATAGGGCTGAAATAAAAATATCGATAATAAGAATATTTTTAAATATTCTGTCGCACGGTTTCGATTGCTGTCGGGCGCCTTCTTATCTATCGGAACAGAACACAATAACATTACCTACAATTATTTAGATTTTATGAAAATAAAGTGATTTAGAGCGAAAATGTGCGATGATCTAGACCCAATCAGTCTTCCGACCCAAAAAGGACAGAAAGAAATCTTAAGATGCAAGAAAACATCAAAAGACTCCGAAAATAAGAGGCTTCGGAGTAATATAGTCACCGAAATGGCCAATATATACAATGCTGATCGTCAGAATAGCTTCCATGTCCCACGAGCTCGAGTTAAAAGCTGGGATATTCCTGACAACAGTGGTTTCATTAGCTTGGAGGACCTTCTAATAGCCAATTCCGATCCAACACCCGAAGAGGAAGTTAAAAATATTCTAAATGATTTCTGTTCATCTCCTACCTATGTGGAAGACGATGATGAGCCGCCCTTCGAGGCAGAGCCGTGGTTTCGATTTCGCAAAAAAAGAATTAAAACTTATAGCAAGAAAAGGGTTCCCGAAATAACGTATGTGCCTGAGGTTATCGAAAACGAACAGGATGGGCTAAGTTGCTCCTCGGGCCTCTCCGTGCAGGAAGATCACTGTACTCACTCGACATCTGCTGTGTGCATCTTGGATGCCAATACTTCGCAAAAGATACATGAAAACCTCCTGAACCTTAGTCAATATTTTATTACTAGTCCGAATATAGTTCAAGCTCCTTCTTCAAACTCCCAATCAAAAATTGATCCCTCCCGGGAACACTTAATCAACCTCCCAGACACAAATGCAATTGCAGAAAATTCTTACACTGAAATTGAGAATCTGAAAGACGACTGTCTTGAGAATGGCATTACTTTAGAGGAGCCCCAAGGTAGGTTTATTCTTTAAACTTAAGATAGTATATATACTAGACTTTACTTTTAGTTCCCGGATTCTTAGGAGATACATTGTCTGGAGATGTTAAGCATAATACGAGTAATATGCATTCCCAATTAGGTAAAATACCACAATTTCATTGTAAGGAGTCACTAAAATCTTAAATATACATATTTGTAGGTGAAAAAGTTTGCGATGATTGGTCTGACGCAGACTCATTTTTGGAAAATTACAACACCGAAAAGATGTCGTTAGATGTTGAAGACTCGGAGCAAGAGACAGTTATAGATACAGTAAACACGGAACCTGCGACATTGCCGGTGAAGAGTCACGACATTTCAGTTTTAGAAGACATCCCAGTCAGTGAATGGCTAACTACAATCGAATTGCCCAATATATCTGCAGAGAAATCCAAGGAGTCAACTCAAGAAGACCTTATTTCAAATTCAAGTTGTGTGGGTATACAAACAAAGTGCGCCAGTGATATAGACTTTCTGCAAGATATAGACCTTGAAGAATGGCAGCCCATGGAGATTTCAACAGAAAACCAATCTTCTGACCTGAGGGAAAAATCTCTACAAAAATTTGAGCAAGATCAAACATCAGAGTTTGTAGGCTTCCAAACAGCCTCAAATAAACCGATTAGAATCACCGCGGAGATGGAAAAAAGAGGAGCCATGTTTTTAGCCCAGTTTAAATCCATAGACGAGCTAAGTCAATCAAAAATTGATTATCAAGATGCTCCGTCAACCTCTAAAAAATGTATGACAGTACCTAAAGAAGAAATTGAAGTCAAGTGTGAGGTTGAATCCGGATTATATCGTCAAGACCTGGAAAAAACAGAGTTCGTGGGATTTAAAACGGCCTCAAATAAGCCTATAGAAATAACAGACAATATGAGGACGAAAGGTGCCAAATTATTAGCTGAGGTTGTTTCTGCAGAAATAGAAAGGAAAACCATGGAAGACTCGGATTTTGTTGGTTTTCGTACAGCCTCAAATAAACCAATTGAAATAACGGAAGATATGGAAAAAAGGGGAGCCATGTTTCTAGCCCAATTCAAAGCTTCAGGCGAGCTAAGTCAATCCAGTATTGATTCGGCTGATGTTCCATCAACCTCCAAAAAAATAATTACAAAGTCTGTAGAAGGAAGTAAAATAAAAGAAGTTGAGTCCGGATTATACAATTCCAGTCAACAGCTGTATAAGTGCACTCAAGAACCGGAAAACGCTGAGTTCGTGAGATTCAAAACTTCCCCCAATAAGTCCACCGAAATAATGGACAAGATGGAAATAAAAGGAGTCACACTATTACTAACTGCAGATGTAGAAAAGGAAGCATTGAATGACTCCGAGTTTGTTGGCTTCCGTACATCATCAAATAAGCCAATTGTGATATTAGAGAAAATGAAGAATAAAGCTGCCGAATTAATGGCAGCTATTCAAGCTGGAGAAACAAATTTACTAAATAGTTCTCTAACAAATCAGTCAGTCCTTGACGACTTTCGTTCAGCCTCAATTAACCAAAATTTGGAAATGTCACCACAAAAAACCTCATATCGCGATGATTATAAGACTGAGAAAAGTTTGCAGATCGCAAAGCAAATCAAAAGTACTCCAGAGCCCTTTAAATTTCGCACATCATCAATAGAACGCATAGAAATATCTAAGGAGGTGAGAATTAGAGAAGATTTGGAAGTATTTGAGGACCATGAAGATTCTGGAGACTTCATGGGCTTTGAGACAAACGGTACCTTTTCATTTGAAGAAGACGCTTCCAACGACTGCATATATCCCAGGCCATCAGGGGGAACCAAAAATAACATAGATTGTAACGATGACTCAAGTGTGTTCACACCTAAGCGTAGAAGGGAAACCTCTGATGGCATTCCGGCGACTAAAAAGCGTCTCAGCGAAGAAAACTCACCGCAGCCAAGTCTTACGCAACGCAGCAGTCGACTGCATAAGACGACGTCGTGCCAGAATGGACAGATCACGCCGTCCACCAGGTCATCGCTGGATATCCACCCCTCATTATCACAACTGGCAAGTCGATCTCCGTTGGATAAGGTTACCAAAGCCTGTGTCATAAACCGCCGGAATTTGTCTCTAACCAAGCGGTCAAAGCCTAGCAGTACGCTGGCTGGAACTTCTACGAGGAATGGTATTACTCCGGCCAAACCCCAATTTGCTCCCATGGCAGCTTCTACTAGTACTCCGCTGGCCAATAGAAATACAAATCTACACAAGGACGCTGATGATAAAAAAAAGGCAGAGGACTTGTCACCCATTTGCATGCAACCCACTAAAAATAGACGACTTGGTTTGAGCCGGAGTCGCTATTAGTGCGTAGTTATTATGCAATCTTTCCTACCTATCAGATAAAAATCGCCGGCCGTTATACATCGGGTATGAAAGTTCAAAGTATGAGGATTTAAAACTGATTGGCTTTGCTTTAATAATCAGATAACAATGTTAAAGCAAAGACTAAGAGTAAACGAGGAAGGTGAAATTCCTTTTTCATGCTGCAATATTTTGGTGCCTTAAATTGAAGATATATATTTTTGTGTATATATTTTTTTTTTGATATAAGGATCCTATATAAAAACCAAAAAATTCTAATTAACGTCTTTTAGCATCGGTAGTTAACCAATTCCATTGAAAAAGCAACCAAGGACAGCAGCAGGCCTACAGACCACAAACCAAAGGCGAAGAGGTAGTAATCCAAGTTAAATGCTTTGGATTGAGTTCCATCGTCCCGCATCAGCGTATAGATTCCCTGCCTAATCAGCTCCCGAAAAGTATCCGCCTTCATTTTCTTGTTGACGCCATGCTCCTGTAGTCGCCTCATAAATTCACTGGCCATTCCGAAGTATGGCAAACTGTTGGAGACGCAGTAGGACTCGAGAGCGAAGCCCACTGTCTCTCGAATCATAATAAAACGCGGCGTCGCCAGCAAGTACTGTTGCATAAGGATCAGCTCCAGCCGATCCTCGTACAACAGATATATATAGCTTTTGTTAAGACCATCTCGGTAGGCCACCAGCAAGGAGCCATTTAAGGTTATGCTATTCCGCCGAAGAGATTTTGGCAGAAATGTATTCCCTTTCATTTTGGTTCTGTAGTAGTCGTCGTGGAGACTGGGATAGGGAGCCTTGGCTAGATCTTCCAATGTGTTGTATTCCTCTTCGTACAATCCCGATGTCAAGATGCTAGACAGCGATGCCAAGTAGATGTTCGTTATTATGAAACCCCCAATTGTTAGAATAGCGTGAATAACTACATCTCTCCAACATGCAGTCCTGATGTTTTGGTGGCTATTGTACAGCATGTGGCTGAGGCTGTACAGGAAGCACTCTCCAATATCGATTCGTGCTCCTGCTGAGGTCAGTCTTAGCATTAGTGTACCGTAAACGACAGTTGAAATTACAACCAACCACAGAGGCCAGCTGAAGGGTTTCGAATAGTACAAATAACTGGAAATCGGTCGGGCGTGGGGAACCATGAAATACATGTTAAGGATCGAAAGTGGATCTGTGTAAGCCATCCCACCCCACCCGGTGTCTTTGAAATAGCAAACAATGTCGATCTTTTTGGTGACCAGCATTTCCGTAACAGCTAAGTATAATTCGTAATCCGGTAGATCTGGCATCGGCACACTTTCGAGTGTGGCATTGTAGCGGTTCGTAAGCTCCTTGACAGCCAAAAACAAATACCCGGATCGGACCAGTTCTCCTTGGTCGTTAAAATACTCAAAATCCCGCGGAGCCAATGTGCTTCGAAGTATGCGTACGGGGTATCCTTGGAAATTGCGAATGATTCTTCCTCGATCCATATACTGTGATATATTTGCAAGCGTAATCGATTGTACGGATGGATATGGCAGGTAGCTGTACAGGTCCTTGCCATTCAGCAAAATCACATTTATTAAACCCTCTTTAAAACAGTAGGTGTAGAGTTCCTGTTTGAGGAACGCTGGTTCTTCCATGCTCATGAATACCGTATGGAGCTCATGGAGCTTGTCCATCAAATGTGGTAAAAGGCTGGCCACCTTTGGATCTAGTCCGAACTCCATCAAACGTACTATGACTATAGCTCGTTCGGTGAAGTTTCCCCGAATTTGAAAATCTCTAGGCTCTCTCAACTTTGAGCTGAGTAGGATTCTGGGTGTGTCCAGATTTTTGAGTATATTGGAGCTATATAAGTCGTCGAAGTCGATAAACACATTGAGCTCCGTTTGAAAAACATGGTTTAGTTCACGGATTACTTGGACGGTTTCCGAATGAGGAGCACCAACCAATCGGAAAAGAACTGCTGCCAACAGAAATGAGTACATCTTGACAAACATTCGACGCTGAAAGAGAGCTTTTATAGGTTGGTTTTTAATGCTTAAATGACACGGCAATTTTCTTTCTTGCCACAATTAAGATGATAATTAATTAGTGAATGACAATCCCGAAAATGAGAGTTGATATTACTAAAAACCTTTTCATTACGATTTGGTGCTTTAAATACAATCTTATGATTGTAAATTTAAGTTAGTCTAAAGAGAATTTATCATTTAAATTTTGCGCTCTTTCGAGGAACTTTTCCAGCACTACCGAATCTCCAGTTCTGGTCGTTACCCAGCACTACCATATGTGTAATTGTTTTCTATTCCCATTCCCATTCCAGTTGGTAAGAAAAAGTAAAAAGTTAGCGCTGCTGGGGTAAAAGTGAACAATAATTTAATTACAAACTGGATTAACGTGCTCGGCTAGTGTGAAAATTTTTGGAGGTAACGCTATTTAATCGATGAGTGCACGCCCACAAAAGGCGTTTGTTTACGCCTCCCGTTGGAATAACAAAAACAAAACGGAAGACCTGTGTTTACGTTTTTGAAAAGTAGATAACAATTTCGGGGTGGTTTGGTTCAAAAACGGAATTTCCAACGGAAAAGACCTTGTAATTAACTGTGATAAGCTCCCTGTTTGTCCCGATGGCAATTAAATCTCGTCGTCTTGCTTGTGTTTTTTGATAGTCGTGGTTTTGTGTCGAATACTTATACATAAAACATTAGGGGCTTACGTATGTGTACATACTATATAGGAAAGTATTAGGGTGGACATTGTGGGGAGTTTGCTGTCAAACATACAATTTTGTCTTCTACCTGCCTCTAAATTGAATTTGTGTTTTGGCAAACTTCAATTGTATTCGCTCCCAGATCGACTCTGGTACGTACCGCCCGACTTCCAAGCTCTCTACTGCCTCTCTCGAACTCAAACCCCCTTTATCGGAACCGTTCAAGCACATATGAGTATATATGTACTCGATTGCGGCTGGCAAATAATTAGTCTCAGCTGAGTTCGTTTTATTTAAAAACATTTCTCCTCGTTCTCAGTTCGCCGAACAGACACGTCAGTCGCAGCAGAATATAATTTTATATTTATGTATTACAATTTATTATACATCCAACTTCGATCTCTACAGCGTAACTAAGGCTCAAGACATCAACCCGAAACCATGTCCGACGACTTCGATGGCTGCGAGTGCGTCTGGTCGCAGGAATATGCGATGCAGCGGCTTATCAACTTCGTGAGTTCCAGTTCCAGTGGGTTCTGATCTTTCTGATCAAATGTACTTTTTCCTTCTAGATTCGCCAGAACCAGAACGCCTGCACAGACACAGAGTGCTTTGATGGTGAGTATCAAACTTTATGAATTTTCACTAAAGAATTCAACTTCCTCGTTATCGAGAGAACATTGCTTTGTCAGAATATGTAACCTGATTAGCCTTTTCTTCCATTTAAAATAAGCCATTTTTTCAAGGCTTACTATTTTATAAAGAATTTGTTCGATTTAAGCATTGCATTAATTATTAGTAACCAATAGCAGTCATAGATAAATTGGTTACAACACGAATGTAAAATCTTTCTGATAATTAGATCTAGAAACAGCAATTTTTTACGAATGAGGATTTCCTGCGTAATAGATTGCCAAAAAGTATGCAATGTGCTAAAGAAAACTTTCGGGAACTTGAATTCTTTCAAGAGACCCTGTTAAATGATATCACCTATTTCCAGTCACCGGACGCACTTCGCAGCAGGCGCAGGTCGCGGGTCGCGGCGATGGCAGCGGCTTCTCCGTCGCCATGATCTTCTTGATCGTGGCCATGTTCATGTACATACTGAATCCAAGTACCTGGGGCCACTTCACCAGCAACAAGCGGGCCGGCGGCCGACGTGACAACAACCAGGACGGCTCTCCGCCGCCACCGCAGCCTCCTCCACCGGCCATAAACTAGATGGATTCGTGGAACCCTGCTTCTGCCAAACCTGAGCTTCTTCAACACAATTCGCAATATGCATTTCCTTGTTTTGTTATTTCCTCCGCAAATGAGAAAGTAAATTGTTCACTACAACATGATGACGGAAGGAACCAGGGCAATCCGGTTGGTGACATCCTTTCGCACGACTACACAGATTAGATAAATTATACATCCCTTACATTGTACAAAACACGAAAGCACACTTTAAAACACCGGCTTATTAACATATTTGGACATTTTTAAAACACTTTGAAACTAGAGATTTTTGTTTTGTATTGGTTTTGTACAAAAGCCTTTAAGATATTTAAAATGTACATTTGGTGGGCGGGAGTTGATGTGATTTGTGTCTTTCGTCCTTGGACTCGTCAGTTCTCGTCCTGCAGATGTACCATCTTTTCGCGCACGCTTTTCAGCAGACCCTTCATTTTTTCATACTTTCCGGTGGAGTCGGGCAGGTTTTCAAAGTTTATAACATCGCTGACGCCCACCTTGAAGTTGTTGCCCTCTGGCAGTCGATCGTATATGGAGAATTTGAGCAACGGTGTTCCCTCATAGGAAGCCTTGAACGGAGTGGATGGAGCTGATTGGGACTGCTCAATATTGTTGGAGTTAACCGCAGTCGCTGCAAGCTCGGTGGCTTCGTCGAGGTCAGACTGTGATTTAGATTCATTGGCCGTCGTGTCTAGTGACGTATTACACTCCAATTGTTCCAGCAGCTTTTCCTGTTGAGCCTTCAAATCATCCAGACTTGGTGATGGAGAACGTTTATTCAGTTCTTCTTTGTCATCTTCGGGCGGAGGTGGTGGCGGAGCCGGAACAGATATGGGCAATGGTGGATCTTCCGCTTCGTCGACAATATCCATATCGCAATCACCAAAACTTGTCTGTTCCTCATTGGGAATGGGAGCTTGGTCATGCGGGGCAGGCAGATCCACTAACTTCTTGCGCTTATATCCGTTTATAACGTTTTCGCCAAGGGATTTTATGAAATTCTCTTTGGAATGACTTTCTTGGAAAGGCGGCACGTTGTGGTATTTGAAGTCCTTAGATGTTTTAAGAGATGTTATAAGAAAGGTACGGGATTTAAGCTGAGTTAATACTTACATCGAAAAACTTGCCAGTGGGCTGCACATTGAAGCCAGGGAAGTCGACTATTTTGTTAATGTCGTATTTGAAGGTGTCCGACTCTCCTTCTTCGTCGTCAGATTTGGTGACCTCAGTGCCCTAGAGGGAGGTACAATTAAGGTCCAGCTAATGAAATAGCAATCCAACTTACATCTGCATTAAACAGAGCTATACCCGAGCTCTGGACCTTGGCCTCTTCCAGCCAAGCAGGCGGATAGCCCAACACTCTTAGGCGGTAGAACATAAATGGCAATTGGCCGCGACTATAACCAATGGCATGGCGCGTCTTGGTACTAATTCTCCCAGGGCGTATGTGACCAAACCGCTGCTCCGTGTCCACGTGATATCGTTCTGTACGCTTGTTTTTTTTTCGGGCCCGCATTATCCTAGCATTGTTCCTGGGCTTGGGACATTCGCGAAGAGAGTGATCTGATTCGCCGCAATTGAAGCAGGAGGATTGCGACTTGGGCCGGAAGCACTTGTTGACCGCCTCCGCTTTGAGTTTCTTCCTCTCCTCGGTCTCTTCGTCTAGTCTGTCAGAATTGCATCGTTTGTAAGAAGGCACTTGGGAAGCATTTAGCTTGACCGCTGGCTTGGTATCGATAAGAAAAAGATCTTCAGTGTCTTGCGCCTCCTGCGTTTCTAGTGCTTCCTCCTCCTCTGCTGCATTGTTCTTTTCAAAGGCTGCTATCGCCAGTTGCTCCGGGTTATCGCGGAAGATCAATTTCTTCTCCGCAAAAGTGCGTTCCAAAACCTCAAGCATTTGTTTTTGTAGGCAGGCGAAGTGCTCCTCCTTGCGGAACCTCACTTCAAAAACCAATGTGTCCTCATCTTCTTCGATGATGTCCTGAAAGAGAGATTTGCTCACATAGTCCTAGTATTGGATATATATCTTAAAATATCCACCTGACTGTCGTTTATTGTTATATGTGCCTTGTTTTTGGCGGAATCTTTCACATCTTCTTTTAGCTCGCCGTCTTCCACGTCGTCTTCCAAAATCTCCACACTGTCCTGTGAATCGTCTAGCAGTATCACGCTTTCGTCCATATTACCCATATATGTATATATATATATGTTTTTCTTTCATAAATTAAGATTTGTTTGCAATAATTACTTTTTCCTCCCCTTTCTATCAAATGGAATGCAAAAGCAACCCTGACTCCTATCGATTTTTGTTACTATCGATAGTGGTAATCGATACTATTACCTTCAAATTTCAAAGTCGCTGCTATCTTTTAGGGGTTTCTGTTTTAGTTATTATCATTGAATACTTTTTCATTTATCTTTCCCTCCAAATGTTAAATATATTTGTATCTATATATAAATTAATCTATATATATATCAATTACCTAGCCAAACAAATTTCTTAATTATATGATCTCTGATCTTGAATAATCTAATTTAATTATATTATTCTCCTACACCCTTAACTTTGGCGTTGTATGTTTCTACTTCCGCCTTCGGATTCAGAAATTATGTCAACTTCTCTCGTCTCATTAGGCATTCGAATGAAAACCTTGATTCTCGGGAGCCAAAGACGTCATGTCATGTCTGATTTGAATCTCTCGAACCGCCGGCTGAATGCCAACTCGGATTGATCATGAATAAATATCGCGCAGAATTACGAGAAGGAAAACCCTGTCCCGCCGGTAATTGTGAATTCAACTTACACTCAGGGAATTCTTCCGACGGACCTGGTGGAATGCCGCCGCCTGCCGTATGAAGAGTTTCGATCGAATCGATCGCCTGAAATTTGAATAAAAGCTCGCCAAGATCGGGCGGGCAGGTGCTGCATGCCAATGAGCTCTAGATACTGGAGCATCATCCACCATAAATAGATGCCATCTTCGTTGGGCTGCTACAATCACAATGGATCTGCTCAAGAGGCACCTGCTGTTCCTGGCCATCGCACTTTACCTGTTTGCAGTTCAATGCATCCAGGCCACTATCACCATCCAAAAAACCAAGCCTGCTCTTCCGGATCCTAGTCAGCTGCTCGCAAAACTACCGCCGAAGCCAGACTTCTTAAAGGATCCCAGTCAGTTACTAGCCAAAATCACGAAAAATAAACCTACTCTCCCGGATCCCAGTCAGCTTCTAGCCAAATTGCCGCCAAAGCCCGCCTTCTTAAAGGATCCTAATCAGCTGCTTTCAGCACTGCCCTCTAAGTTCGTGAAACCAAAACCCGTGATCGTTAAGCCCGTGGTTGTGGTGGTAAAGCCGGTGGTTGTCGGCGGAGGCGGTGGCCATGGTCATGGACATGGACATGGACATCATGGCAAGGATAAGTTTAAGCCTTAGTTAGCTTATAAGTAAAATGTTAAATCAGATATGCTTTTGCATTTCGATTTAACATTATAGTTGGGCATAAAAATGATATTTCAATAATATCAAACATTTTCCAGGTCAAACTGGAAAATATAAGTAAACAAAAACTTCATTAAATGTAAATATTATAACTAATAAATGTACTCATTACAAGTAAGCACACGAAAGTTAGTTTTTTAGATATTTATCAAAAACTCTTAATAAACCAAAACTTTATTAAAAATGCTTTGGCAGTTAGAAACTTGTCGTTCCATATGGAGGCTATCGAAATAACAAAAAGTAGTTTAGTCCTTTGTACTCGTCTGAAATGAAACAACTGAGATAGTGAAAGGGGTTTCGCCCAACCCGGTTAATGTGACCTATAGCCTTGAGCCCTCAATAAGCGCATATCGATGTGCATAATGAATCCATCATCCTTTTTCCTAACGATGTCCTTTTGTGAGCAAATTGAAAGGCGGGACTGACAGAGCAACTGTTTATCTGGTTGTCCTGTCGCCAACGCGGCGTATAAGCAATTGCAATTGAGTGGGCGTACGCGGCGGATGCGAAATGTATGGGAAACTGGAATGACGGGATGCTGTGTTCTGGGATGCCGGAGGAGGACCAACTCGGCATGGGACGACACACATTAACACACAGCAGCGGACCAAGTGGCGATAAGAGCGCGTTTTAATCAACGTAATCATAATCATATGACCAGAACAGACATTCTGAAGCGGCACAATCGTATAATTTATACGCTTTTCTTGGCTTGAGTTCAGTTTGAGTTGTGTTTGAGTTTGAGTTGTCTTGCGTTTGTGTCTCGAGGCTCTTTGTAATCAGCCAATACTAACCGCGTATTATGCAAAACCATCGGCACCACCAATGTACCACTATGCCACCACACCACTACACCACCAACCCCAAGCCCTTGCATCCGCTGGATGCTAGCGGCGTATAAAAGCGACTTGGCCAGAAGTTTCGCAAACATTTTGGCATCGACAGAGTTTTGTGCTAGTCTCGTCGGGAATTATACACTTTGTTTATTCTGCAAAACCGTCAACTTAGTGAAAGGGCTTTTAGAATGGTGAGTGGAAAAAATTGTTTTTGAACTCAGAATGGGATCAAATTCTAGGCTTATGCAAAAATATGGATTTCTTCTTATATCTATCATATCTATTTAGTTAGTATACTTAATAATTTAAGATAAATGGAAAAGTAGGAAAGCAGAACCTTAAAGATCCATTCAGCGAATGAACGTTATTTGTGAGATAAGAGATACTTTCAGCAGAACTTGTCCACATCAATCCCAACGGATATTACACTCTCGATCAGTGTGGGATTCGAAATCCGCTCAAACAGACGCATAAGCCCATCAACCGATCGATTGATCGCTTGTGGTCGATTGGGGCTAAGTGTGGGTATCAGAGGCTTTGGCAATGCTTTCCGAGCTGGCGCCTGGCCGGACTGGGTCTAAAAATAGATTTAGTTTCAATTACAGTGGAAACGAGTTTGGCGGCGTCGACGGCAGAGAGAGGAAAAGCCATCGTCCCGGGCATTTGGCAATTGAAAATTGTTTGGAATTGCTATTTATGTTGTGGCGCGTCTCTCTAAATGGCATCGGTTATATCTGGATTTCCTAAGTGCCCATCACGAGCCACAGTCACGAACCGAGATACATCTGCAAATCGTTTTCGCTTTGACCTTTGCGAGGCTCTGAGAAAGTGCTCGAGTCGCGAATTTGGAATCTCGAAGCTCGAATCTCCAAGCCGAATCTCTATCCGAGCTTGTGCCTGGCAATTCCTTACAGTACCGTTCCCGTGCTTCCATCTTTATCATTTGCGTGTGCGCCGCTCATTTAGATCTGAAAGCGGCAATTAGCCCGCTCAACTGCAGCTAAATTGACCGACCGGTCAAAGTCAAGTCAAGTCAGCCCAATGCAGCGTTTCTTATTTTCCATTGCTGTGGGATTGGATCGCGCCTGCATTACATAACCTTGTCCGGGCCACATATGTAACTCCGCTGGGGACCAGGTCCATTGCCAATTCCACGCCCAGACCCATGCCCAGACACACGAACCATATTCTGATCACACCTGGAGGCAGGCTTATTGAATCACACTTGTGCCACATTACAAGTTTGTTGACTCTCCGCTGACGTATACGTAATATTTTTATTGAATGTGCCATTCATATAAGAAATGCATGATATATGAGCCGGGGACTGAGGGCTAGTGCAGAATGCTCGTAAATCTAATTGTGGACAAGCGCTGCTGTACAGTCCAACTTCCATAACTCAGGGCAAAATCGGCCTTAAATATTAGTAGGACTTTTAAACGGCTTGTAATTGCAGCTTTACTAAATCAGTAAATCTCAGAATGTCTCTCGAAAACCTACAAACATTTTTAAAAAATCTAATCATTAATTACAATTTATTCTTGAAAGTTAATGTTTTAAAATTTAATCACTAAAGATAATAAACGGTAAGAAGTCAGTTACAAGTTACAAGTTTCCAGTTCGACTTCTGTAAGTTGCTCTGTATAGTGAGTCGCATGCATTGGCTTCTGCGGGTGCTGGGACAAGCGGACAGACAGAGACAGAAAGTGTGGCGGAAGGGGTAGGGTTATAGAACGGAAATGGGCAATAATTTGCGACGCAAGCTTTTTACACACGCCTTACAGGGCACTTCCAGGCTACTCTAAATCAAATCCCAACTCCAACTTTCCGGTGATTCTTCTTCGCTTTCCAAACTGCGTAAGGGTATGTGTGCGTGTGGGTGGGAGGAGCCGCTCTCTTACTGGAAGACAGAGAGAGAGAGATTGGCTTATGCTCACGGTTTCTTCGCGAGAGCCCGACTTACAGTTACATGCTTCAATTTCAATTAGTGAACGTGCGCATGTGTGCGTGTGTGACACGGTGAGCTAAAGTCAGTGGACAGGGGCGTCGATTCGCCGACGAATGCAGGCGAACGGGGGCCAATTACCCCGATAACCCGATAAACAACGACCATGACTGGCTGTGAATATGGATATGGATATGGATGTGCATGTGGACTTATCACCCTCGAGCTACTTCCTTTGTTCGTCTAAAGACCCCTTAGAGGCGCTTGTCTCCTCGTTCGTGGGATGGATGAGGTGAGGGGTGATCGAGGGGGTGGTACGGTGGGGTGGGTAGACAAGATTTGGGGCCGCATTGTCTCACAGACACACACACACACTCGAAAACGAATCGAAAGGCGAATCAAACCGCTGGCACATGCGTGCTCTTTCGAGCAACAAGCGTTCCAAATATCCAGCGAGGGGCGGTCTCTGAGTTTTTCTCTTGAGTTACACTTGATTTTGCGCATTAAACTAAAATATATATTCTAATTCAGCCAAAATAGTCTGAACAGAAGCGTAGGCTTAGTAATGACCTTAAGCTGTAGGTTGGTTTTACTATCCTTTAAAGAATTTATGTCTTGGAAAGAGTTTAATATAAATGCAAAATAAACGAAGACTTTTGTGGAACTTTTCAGTTCACCCTCGACCCCTCGCACGGCGTTCGTGTGTGTGCGGGAGTGAGTGTGTGTGTGAGATGGTGTGCATGGCAGAACGGTCCCCAGCATTTTGACATTTAATGTTTGCAGTTAGTCTGCTTTCGCTTCTCATGCGGTTTGGGGTTTTTCCTATTTTCTTTCGATTGGCTTCGCCGGAAAATCCTTGTGTCGCGATCGCGATCGCGTCCGTTGCCTTGGCCAAAGCCATATAACTATATCTATAGATATATGTGCAGCTGCACCGCCGATGTGCAAATATTTTGAGCTAAGAAGTACACATATGTGAGCTGAATAAATACGCAAGTACACATACTATCTGTTTGAATGTGTGAATAATCGGTGCGAACGTGAGAATCGCGCTGGCGTTGCAAGTTCGCAGTGTAGTTGTTGTAACATCGACGTGGAGTGTCAATTATGTGGAAATATATTTACAAAGATACCCCCTGTGCCTGTGTGCGTGTGTGTAAGTGAGTTCTCCTGGCACTGAATGTCACTAAAAGAGAGAAAGAGAGGGAGCGAGAGTGTGGGAGTGGAAGTGGGGCTGCTGCTCTCTTTCCAGTGCGTGTAGATCAGTTACCGCCAGCAACAGCAAAAGTAAAAGCAAAATAAAAGACAACAACAACAATAACAACAAACAAACAAACAAACAAGCGACAATTCACATTCATTTCCATTCATTGCTGCGATTATCGCCAGTTTTGCTTTGCTCTTTCACCACGCACGAATCAGTGGGTGAAAGGAAGTGAGAGTGGAAAGAGTAGAAGAGTGGAAGGCAGAGAGCAAGTGAAGTGAACCGTATGAAAATGCAAACGGGGAGTGGAGAGTGGAGCGAATGAAGAGGAAGCAGCAACAACCAAAAAGTTCGCTCTGGGCACGCCCCCTTATGACGCCCCCTGTGACGCGTTATCAGCGGAGACCCAACAAACACAACAAACACAAAGACCTGACCAAAATCCACACAAAATGGCGATAAACTCGAGTGCCAGAGAAATGCCGCGGGCCTAAGGAACTTCGCTCTCTCACTCCAACAAATAAAAAACGAAGGAGGTAAACAAACTCGTTTCTGCCCCACAACAACGATACCCCCACCTGAATACCCCCATCCAGAGATATCCCACAGAACCCACCAGAATCGGCGATAAGCATCCGAAAGTTTGGGTGGCCCAGTCCACAGAACACCCCGCACCAAACCCGAAACAAGCGCCTAAGGTAAGCCCAATTTCGATTCTTCTGAGCAAAATACCATTTCGCATTCCTACACTCAGAGAAATGGGGTCATCTAAAATATGAAGTCACTGACCAATAACATATTAAAAACCTCGTTATCTGGGTTTTTATTTAATTCATCTCATTCGAAGCGAATAAATTAATTGAAGTGTGTGAAAGTAAATCACAAGTTATAGAGATCGTTAGGTTTGGAAGACGCTTTTCGCTCAGTGTTCCGTGATCGACATTCGCGAATATGTCCGTTTGTTGACTGTTTGCACTCGCTTTAGCGGTGTCACACCCTTTTTACAAGTTCAGCTTTTGTTCGGAGCGCGATCTGGCCCACTTGGAGGTTAATAACATTGGGGCGGCCAAGTACAGAGTATCCGTAAATTCGTAAATCCGTAAATCCGTAAATAGAGGATGACCCTGTCCCTGTCCCTGGCCCTGCATTACTTTTCCGACTAAACTCGCATATTGAATGGGGGGCACAAATTCGTGTAAAAAGGAATTGTTACAAGGTCGGTATAGATGTATGTACTTATAATTTCGGTGGTGCTTCAGTTAAAATTAATCCAAGTGAGTGTGTGTGTGTATCAGTCAAGATTCTCTTGAGGCAATTTCCGGTTCCGTTATTTAAATCTGTAATGGGAGCTCCATTATGGCTGTGTGTGCGTGTAAGTGTCGCTATGCCACAGCCATTATACATAATGCACATCCCAATTGATCAGCTCTTGCGTGTGGGAAACTCTTTAATGTGATCATCAAATTTGTCTTGATATCTGCTGAATGAAATCGTTTTATTCAATTACTCATGTGGCCTGTTATTACTTTGTTACCTATAATTTTCTAAATTTATATCTCTATATCTTTTTCTTTGTTTTTAACTTGCCTTGGCAGAAAGCTAAAGCAGCTATAGTATATTATTTACTTTCGATTTCAAGGAAATTGATATTACCACCATATCATAGTTCTTTTTGATATCTTTTAATATTGCATACTATAAGGAATATAGGAAAAGCCTGCATTAGAATGGTATAGTAAATAAATAAATATTCTAACGATTTTAGATGCTTAGATGCTATATAATGGGGTTACCTTGCTGAGAATTACCATCATAATATTACAGAGAACCACTTCGTCTGTGATATAACACCATAAACTGTAACAGACAATATTTTTCCGTCGGTCAGTTTTTTTCCATTTGTCTGGATTCCAGTTTATCTGGGCAGAATTAGTCATCCAGAATAAACAAGTCGAAGGCACCCCGGGATCCTCTGACCCCAACACCTCGTATCGAACTATGCTAATTGGGCGGCGATATCCCACCCGATACGGCAGAGACCAAAATTGGTCATTAATTGGATTTGGTTCTGTTTAATAACAACAATTGTGGGACTGGGAATGTCCAGAGGGGCGGGCAGGTACGTTTGCATGGTTAATTACGATTAATTGCATTGATCAACAACAAATGCAATCGCAATTGGCAGACAGGTGACGCAGCGTCGCAGCAGTCTACGCAATTCGGGCAAGGTGGCATATTATTATTTTAAATTCAATTAACACCCCTCGTGGGATATTCTGTTCTCTTGTTTTCTCTCTCTATCTTAATATCAAGTCCATTCGGAATGCTTAGTTTAGTGGTTAGTCGAAAATACTTACTTTAAATACCATTTAAATTATTATTATTTATACATTGCTCTGCGAATGAACATGGCAGTAAAATGCAGTTCATAATTATTAGTAACACCCTCTGAGCATCAATGCCTCAATCCAAAACCAGTTCCGATCTTAGAACACGAATATGGGAAATACGTAAATATATAATAAAAAACGATGCAAAAATATATAAATCATTCAAAATCTTTTAAAATTATTGGGTCATAAGACGCACAAAATCTTACTTTTTCTAAAGTATTAGGAAACAATCTTAAATAATTCGCAATTCAATATTGACTCACGGTTTCTAAAACAGCTGACTGAATTCCCGACGTCTTAATTTAAAAATTTATGAGCAACAAATTATGAATTTTGCCAAAAATGTTATCAAATTTTTAAAGGAAATACGCATTTTAAAAATTTTAATTACTTTTCAGAAACTATTTTAAGATAATGCTCACATAGTCAAAGTTCCGGCTTTCAAAATAGCATCGTCATCGTTCGCCTGAGATTTTTGGCCCGATTTTCCCATTCCCGTGCAAAACAATGGAGATTGCTCTGCAATTACAACTGCAGATAATTGCATTGATTAGCAATTAGGTATGACATATACGTATGTATAGGGGAAACCCTACTGCCCAAGAACAGTTATTCCGGCGGCAACAAGTGGTTGCACAAAAGAGAGAGAAAAGCGGCGTAGAAGAGAGTGCGCTGCAGAGATCACCTAAGAGCACACTCAGTCACTCATTCAGTCACAGTTACAGTTTCAAGAGCTAACAGAGCGCTGCTACAATGTTACTGCCGATTTGCGTCGTAGTCTCCCGCTCTCTTTCTCTCTGTTCTTCGAAATGTTAACAGTGGCAGAGGCTGTTTCTCCGCCGCTCTGTGCCACTGTTAACATTTTGTTAGAAAAACGATGCATCATCCTAACATCTTGATTGCAACTAGCGCCAATGTGGCCAAAAGGGAAAACGAATTTGTATAAACTGGGAAATTCCAATAGGATCAATTTTGATTGGCTATTCAGGACTTAAGTACTTTAAGTAGGGTCAGGATGCCAAAATATTGCTGTAAAATGAAAAAAGGGTTTCGCGATGCCTAATGCCACCTGGTAATAATAAAAAGAGTGTTTGAGAATCTCTAATTAAGAAAAATATCATTTGCAAGGTGCCGTTATAAATTTAACTAATTCAGCAAGGCGACATTTGAAAATATATTTTGCGAAAAAAACCTTTATATTGAAGACCGATGCTACAAGGATTTCTAAGGGACCTCACAGATCTCTCCTTGAAGGAGAAAACCGCTAACCACCAGAAAATAAAATATGTTTCATATAATTTTATGAATCAAGTGTATTGCTAAGTAAATTGTCTTTTGAGGCGATGTATTGGTTGAGGGGCTCAACACTCAGCCACGCACACAGGCACAGATACAGTTTCGAGCGCCGAGAGAGCGCTGCCAGCAATCACATAAATACAATGTTACCGCCGAGCTGCGGCGTAGTCCTTAAACGCGAAGCAACAAGTGAGCATCGCATCGCATCGCATCGCAACACATCGCATCGCATCGCAAATCGCACAATTGAGATACTCCGGTTTCGGTTTTCTGTCTTCTGTTTCTTTGTATCGAGTATCGAAAAATAAAGGCCAAAAGTGTGTGCTCGGAAAACGAAGCCAACGAGCCAACAAGTGTTTAAACGGTCGTGGCAAGCAAGCAGTCGCGAGTGAAAGAGCTGGAAAAACCGCCTGGAAAAGGTCACCAGCGACCAGAAAACCGCAACCTATAACCTGTAACCCCTGCAAACCCAAACCTCGTGCCGGTCGGTGCCCAGCACTGGAAATCGAGCGAAGCGCAAAGTTTCCCCCGCCGAAAACAACAAACAGAATTACGAAAATGTAATAAACGTTAAACGTTTAATTATAAACAAAATACAGCTCGAACTTGGTGCAGCTTTCAAGATTGGCAGCAATTAACGTCGGGCGAGGGCGAAATAAACGAAATGAAGCGAAAATAAAAATCACAAATGGCACACATCCCGATCCCGATCGAATGTGGAAAAGTACTGGGCCTGAATCCGATGGGGGGCTATTAAGTAGCCATTATGAGCTATAATACTCCTTGCCCAATATCCAGTGTCCAGTGAGCAGTGACCAGTGAGCAGTACCAAATGCCAATTACCAATTGCTTATCTGTAATCTCCGTCCGCTTTGTCAGTTGACCGAATGGCCTGAAGGCCCAACTACCTGCTGGTTATGGCCAACATGTTATCGCTGCCCTTTTCGCATGATGTTGCCACCTTGCAGCAGCAGCAGCAGCAAGAGCAACCTGAGTCTCTTTCGGTCAACGATTCTCTCTTTTGTTCCACCTCGATCTGGGTTTTTAATGTCGTCGTCAAGCGACCAGAACAACTTTCGTTGATGCCCGACCGATATCGATCCGGCGATGATGTCATAAGTGACCCATGCCGCCGAGTCCCTTCCACAGGGACTGGAATTCGGAATTCGGAATTCGTAACTCTGAATTCTGAATTCTGAATTGTGAGTCGGGAATTGAAAACCTAGCTGACCTCACTTGGTCACATTTCCCCGAAATCTCGCACTTTAATCGCCGGCGTCTATCGCTGCCGTCAGTTTAATAGTGCGTGTGCAACAGGAAATGTACATTTTATGCTGAGGCAGAGGCTGCGGCTGAGGCTGAGGCTGAGGCTGCGGCTGAGGCTGAGGAACACACACATTTTCGTATGATGTGTTTTTGTATGTGCTGTATTTATTTTTTGCGTGCAAACACTTCCGACATTTTAAATGCAGCCAAGCCAGCGAAGCGATCGGACCGGCTAAATAAATCAACATCAGCCGTTGCAGTAGCAACTGGGCCCTGCTGCTCTGCTGCTGTTTTGCCGCCGTTTTGCGGCTGCCTTGCTGCCTTGCTGCTGCAGCGGCAACCCGTTCATCTCCAATGCATATAAATGATTTTAATCAACGACAGCAGCAACATTAATAACAATAAATGACAATCAGCGATCATGCCAGTTCGCATATGGACATATAAGGAACACGAGCGGATCGCGAAACGTTCCAGAGGCAAATTTAGACGTCAAGCCGCGAGACTTTGATCGGTGATTGCTGTCAGTCCTGTGCTCAACCCGATCGGTTATCCAGATCCGAATTGCAAAAGAAAGAGCGATTAAAATCGAATTAGACGCTGCCAATCAAAGAAAGCATGCCCAACTCAGTCGAGTTCGTGGGAAAGCTGAGCTAACGTATTTATTTCACTTTTAGATAATCCCCAATTAAACGCAAACATCTGCGGCCAAACAACTTACAAACTCACCCAAACTGTGTTAC